CTTGGGATTTTTTTTGTTTGTACCCCCCCGGGTGGGGGGGGGTTTTTTTTTTCCCTTTTTTTTCCCCGGGGGGAAAGGGGGGGGGGGGGGGTGGATTTTTTTGGGTTTTTTTTTGGGGTTCAAAGACTTTAGGTTTTTTTTTTTTTTTGGGGAATTCCCTTTGTGGGCCCCCCCGGGGGGGGTTTGAAAAAGGGGGTTTTGGATTTTTTTTGAAGGGCCCCTTTTTTTGGGTCCCAATTCCCGTTTGGGGGGTTTTAAAAAAGAGTTTTTAATTTTTTTTTTGGCTTTTGTTAAAACCCTTCCCAAACCCCATAGCCCCCCCCCCCCCCCCCCCCCCCCCGGTTGCGCCTGAACACGCCCACAGGGAGTTCCGAGACCTTCCGTGCGAATTCAGCCGTGGGCGCGTGGAGGGCGGGGTAGGCATTCTGGACCACGATGTAGTGTTTTGGCTGGGCGATCTGAACTACCGTGTCTCCGAGACGGTGCACCTGGACGAGGTGTTCCGACGCTGCCGCAGCAAGGAGGGGAAGGTCTTCCTCCAGGCGCACGATCAGCTCAACCTAGAGGTGCGCCGCCCCAGCCGTCGTGTGCGGGTGAAAGTGTCAAGGCGAAAGGATTGTGTCTCACTTGGCGGTGGTGCGCTGGGTGCTGCGTTAGATTCCTTCATGTAGGCAGTCGGAGACATGTGTGGTTTGGAATATTGTCGATGGATTGGGTGCTGCGTTGGATTCCTTGGTGTGTAAGCGGTGGCAGACACGTGTAATGTGCTTTGTTGTCACTGCGTGATCATGCACCGCATGCTGCGATGCTGCGGTCCTTGATGTTATGCCGTGGAGACTTTTGGCGCGGTTTGAACAACGGAGATGTGGTCGAATTGAATGAAGCAAGCCCGGACTGTCACTGAGTGTGCTGTGTGCTGACTATCCCTAACGTAACCGTAGCCCACGGGTATATAGTCGGAGTTCAGGTTCCGCACACTAATGCCGATCCGTGTGCATTCAGGAGTTCCGACACGAAAGGATAGGGTTGTTGAAACCCGCGGTAAGTTAACCCTAACCCTAACCCTAACCCTAACCCTAACCCTAAACCAAACATTCTAAAGGCAAGTACACACCAGTACTATCACTGTGCGTGTCTGTTATCTTTGTGTCACGTGTCTGATACAGCCCCTTTCATATCTGGAGAGTTTTGTGTGTGCTTGGTTGTCTCGAGACCCACCATCGACGACGACGAAGGATAGGACATCCGTAACCCTCCCCTCCACTGATGCTTCTGGCGACAATGCTTCCGTACGCCGTCTCTCCGTGGGGTGGGTGCTTTCTTTGCCCGTTGTCTTGCATGGCTGCGGTGGCTTGGGAACCTGGAATGGCCTACACTACCGTCACCGCCGTGCAGAGAGCGCGGGGCCCCCGCGCAGCCTTCGGGGAGTTCGAAGAGGCTCCTATAACTTTCCCACCAACGTACAAGTACCAGCCTGGGACACAAGTGAGCTCTGCCCTGTTTTGTGGCACGAGGCATGTTGATTCATCACGTCGTTTTCTCCCCGCCGTAATGCTTGTCTCTATGCTCAGGACGCCATTGAGATTGTTAATTGTGCTTACAGTGCCCTAAGGTGGGCGAAACGTAACTGGTGATTTGCGACTATGTGGTATTTTCCCTACCCTAAACCGACTACGGTGATGTAAGTACCTGTATGCTGCAGCTGAAGCGTACACCCTCGGAGCCCGTGCCGTAAAACCAAACCCACTGCTGTAGCCCCAAATCCAAAACCTAACCTTACCTAACCTAACCCTAACCCAACCCAACCCCTAAAGCGTACAGTCCCGGAGCCCACGTCGGTACACACGTGTGCGCCACTACAATCGCCTACCGTTACAATCACTTCCATGCAATGGTCAAACGGTTGTGTGGGACTCGCACACACTGGGCTTTGCATGCCGTGGTAGCTGGTTGAACACACAAGTCGGGCGTACATTTTCCGTTCAAGCCGGTGACGGCGTTAGGGTGGCCGTGTCACTCAGCGTGTGTGCTGCTCGTTATGTTGGTTGTGCTCGTAACCAGCTGTACGAGGAGCGGCCAGACAAGAAGCGGCGTGCGCCGGCGTGGTGTGATCGAGTTCTGTGGCGAACTCGTGACGTCGGGCACGTGACTTCCGTCAGATATGCTAGGGGAGACCTTGTCTTGTCCGACCACAAGCCAGTGTGTGCCGAGCTATCTGTCAAGGTATGAATACGATCGTACGATATTTGTTTCTTGGCCCGTTTTTTCGTTGCAGCACTTGGCTTCGGCTGCGAGTAGGTGTGGGTGCGGGGTAGCGGAGCTTGATTTTATTCGGAATGCTTCTCTTGGGATTTGTTTCCGTGTTGATGTGCATGTAGATGAGGAAGGCGGTTGTTCCCTACAGCGTCTTTTTTTGGGGAGGGTCGCGATTTTTCTCTCTGCATCCAATGCTACTGGTGTTGACATTGCTACAGCCAAAAACAGCGAAGGCTGGTCGATGCCAACAACCGCAAGAGCACTCCGCGGCACGTTGTCAACTGCACAACAGCTGGCCAACACACTGTGCTATATATATTATGTATTCTTGCCCCCCCTCTCCCGCGTTGATACCACCCTATACCACACTCACTTTGCCGGTGTCGGTGTCGGTGTCGATGTCGATGTCGGTGTCGGTGATGTCTCCACCCCCACAAGATCCGCCTCATCGAGCGCGCGGAGCACCGGCGAAATTTCGAGGACATAACCGGCCAGATCCGACGGGTAGAGTCGCAGGGCTCCGCCCCGGAGATAACTCTCGGGTCGTCCGCCATCGACCTAGGAGATGTCTACTACAGGACGATGGCGTCGATGGTGCTGAGGGTGGCCAACGTCGGTCAAGGGTAAGCTGAACTAAGCGGAGCGGAGCGGAAGAGCGGCCCCGACGCGCTGACCGTACTCGTGTACTTTCTCTCGCATCGCTTGCCCTCCGAACAGCGCTTGAAACACTGGAAATTTGGCCCAGGGTTAGGATTAGGATTAGGGTTGCCCACTGCTCTCCATCATTGCTGGCTTCGCTACGATCGGTACTGTTTGATTGTCTTGGCATGCCGTTCGTGTTTGCCGCCGAAAGTCGTTGCGTGTTTTGTTATTCGTTAGGGCTGACGCGTTGTTGTCGGGGGTGATTGGTGGCTTGATCTTGACTTAAGAACCGTTTTCGTGCCAAAGCAGCCCTGTCTTGGTTACCTGCTTGTACGGTGCTTCGCCGTTCCTCGTTCGGCATCATCTTGGCGGTGTTGAAGGTTAAGGGCTGTGCTGCGGGGGATTAGGCCATCGCGAACGCCCCTTCCGCCGGCATGTCGAAGCAATTGCTTTCCACATAAAGGCTAGCCTGAAAACGTAGACTCTCGCAGACGCTCTTTTCCACCTCTCCTTTTGTGTGCATGGAATTTCCTTCTCTCTGTCGTCTTATCTTGCCAATGTCGGCCGCTGAAAAGCCTCTCGAACATCAACCTATCATAAAAGTGTTGCCGCTCATTTTCTGTTTTTGTTCGCAGATGCAAGATGAAAGACAAAACCTGTCTCTATCCATAGATGGTAAGCATCCAACAACGGACTCACGATAGGCCAACTTGCCTCTCTGTTGGACCCTTGCACAACACACAGCAGTGGTTATCTTGTATCGTCTCAGCGTCCGTCTCGATCGTTCTGGCGGTCTCTTCCTCTTTCTCGTGGTTCCAAGGCTGGCGTTTCTTAGATTCACCTCCAAGCTGGGCGAGCTAGTGCCGTTCCGAAGGTGGCTGCGTGTGGAGCCGCCCTTTGCTCTGCTGACGCCAGGGGAGAGAGCGGAGTTCCGTGTGTCGGTGTTCATAGATCGCCTAACCGCACGGGTACGTACATTACGTGGAGAGACGCCTTTTGTTCCGGGCATTGTGGGGGACCGTGCTTGCGGGCTTTGTAGGGTTTCATGACTGATTCTTCCTCCATCGGTTCGAGTCCGTCTTGGCCATTGACACCACCACCCCCGCCATTTGATGAAGCAAATAACAATTATCGCGTTTGTGCCGATTTTTATGGGTCTGTGTGATGCAAACCCGAAGGAGATATACTACGAGCTCTAATAGCACCCAGTACAATACGCTGTGTGCGTGGTCACGTGCTTTTTTGTCTTTTGAATTTGAGTTTGTTGGCACCTATTGCTTGTCTGTCATGGGTTTTGGCTGCAGGATCTATGCGCAGGCTTCGAAGTATTAGAGGAACTTCTGGTCCTACGCCTGGAGGGGGGAGCAGAGCACTACGTCCCCGTGTTGGGGCGTTACGCGAGCCGGGCCTTCGGAACTCCGTTGGAGCAGCTCTCGGCAAGACACGGCTCGCAGGTGCACTGTCTGTCTGTCTGTCTGTCAAGCAAGACAAGAACGTTACAGACTACGCCTGCAGAACACACCACGCTTGAAGTGTCTTGAATGACACTTGTTCTCTAGTTCGCACATGCGATCAGGACCCGTTGGGAAGGCTTGCCACGAGTGGGCGCTCTCTCCAAGCCTCTGTGCAGGCAATCTGTTCTCATCCACGGAATCCCGTCGTCGTTCCATGGTTTCGACCTTGTTTTTGTGCGGAATAAATACAGTAGTTGTCGACGATGTATTGATGTTAAGTTTGGGATGGAATGAGGCCTCCGCTACATACGGCACGGGATCCACCCTTGGAGAAAATGTCCCAATAGAAGTGATGTGTTGAAGTCTTCACATTATGTGGGAGAATAACCTAACCTGCTATAATACGTGGTCTATTGTTGAGTCTGCGTAAAGCCGATACACTGCGACATCAGTGATTCCATCCGGGTATGAAACACACATATCTGCTGCAGTTGGGATGACATGTGGCAGTTTCTGGCGTGCTGCTGTTTCAATGGGCCTACCTACCACAAGTACGGATTTCTTTAAACTTGTGGGCTCGCTGCTTGCTTTGCCGCATTTTTTTCGATGTTGCGGTTGTTGTCGCTTGAATCTACGTACGCCGCACACGGTGTGCCTTGATCCCCGATTCATTGGTTGTCGCATTTTTCGATGTCGCTGCTGTTGTCGTTTGACGCTTCCCCGCACACAGCAGGGCGCTGCGTTCCCTGGCAGCTACCGCAGTTTAAAGCTATTGTACCCCTCGCACAGCGTGCCACGGTCCTTGGCTCACCGTCGTAACCCTTGAGCATTTCCGTTGCCACGAACGTGCCCGCTTCCCGCAGGCAGCGCGGTTAGGAATTCCAGTAGAGCTGTGGAGGTTAGTGGACTCGGTGATCGGATCGGGGGCCCTGCAGACGGCAGAGGGCGCGGCGGAACTCTTCCCGCCCGTGGAGACGGCCATGCCTCCCGACGTCCCACTGGACGACCAGACGGCGGCTGTGCTCAGGTGAGGCGGAACCATTCGCTAATGTGGGGAAGTCGGCGCTGTCGACTGACACGTCGCTTTGCACAACCAATCTCTCGCGCGAACCATGAAAATCGTGCGCCAGGGTGTTTTATCTATCAATAATACCACAAGGCCAAGACGGAGGGCAATTGAACGGTCCCCTTGACAACTCAAGCGCAGGGCATACGGCAAGGACTGTATTGCGCATACCGGACTTCGGGTTACTGCCGTCGGCCCCGCTAGGAATGACCATCAGTGTATTAGATCGTTTCTGTATCCTGAAGCGGTATCCATACATGTCAGGCATTTTTTTTTGCATGTCTTAGGCCCCGTCCCTCGCAATCGCCTCCTCCGCGTTGTCGTGCGCCCGACAGGTGCCTGGACGCAGGCTCCGAGTTCCCGCCGTCGATCGAGCGACCGGCGCTGGTGTCTGCCATGCTGGCGTTCTTGTCGTCCCTGCCAGAGCCCGTCGTACCGGTAGCCGCGGTGAAGGCCGTAGAGTCGGAGCTCGCGGCCCACCGGGTGTCGGGGGCAAGCGGCCAGGGGGCAGGCGGGACCGCCGGAGGGGCTTGGGGGGAAACGTTCCTGAGAGCCTTGTCTCCCTCCCAGCACAACACGTTTCTTTACGTGGCGTGAGTGGCGATTCAGTGGGGTTTTGGTTGTTGCATGTGGTGTTTGTTGTAATTGGATGGTGGCACGCGGCTATGTGGAGAACTGTACCTTGAATGTTTCTGCGTCTTGCGTGGATGCTTGCGGAGGTCTCCATACGCAATCAGCCATCTGATGGTTTAGTGGCAGGTTTTATTGTCAATCTTCCCGCCCCCGGCGGTTACACGCAATGCCGCTGTACAGTTTTTCCCGAGGAACTCCCGCGAGGCGAGGCGTTGTTTCGATGCCCATATTCGTTTTGTAGTTTGACCTGCGGAAAACTCATGTGCTTTCTTCCATCTTTCGTAGAGTCCAATATTTACTAACGCATGTCGAGGCAAAGAGGCGCAGCCTGAGCTAGCCATACACACAAACGTTTACGTATTGTCTTGTACGTGGCCCCCTGTCCACCCCCACCTCACCCACCGCCCTACTTTTTCCGACGTATTTTCTTGCCAACCGTGTTCTCAGGGGCTTTTTGCGAGAGGTTGCCAGGGCAGGACGGTCAGCGGGACTGCGTAGCGGGCCGTTGGCATCCTTCGCGTGCGACTCACTGTGCTTCCCGGATCCCCCCTGGCTCGGCTCCGTTGGTTCTAGCAGCAGCAGCACCATCGTGGGCGCAAGCGATAGGTCTAGCGACACGAGCGTGACTTGGCAGGAGCACCGAGAGGTGTTCCGTGTCCTGCTCAGCTCCTTCGTGTCGGCGACGAGATAAAGTTATCATGGCATATAGGGTTAGGAGACCTCTGTAATAGCTGCACCTAAGACATGTAAGACATGTTATGTATAGACATTCTATTCCTGCATCCGTCCATGTATCTCTACTGCTGGGGGCACATCACGATATATATATTTTTGCGTGTATGCAAGCGTGGGCCAGATGATGGTTCTATGGCGTAGTGTCAGGCGGGGTGCGGATGGTGGGACGTGGCGCGCAAGACTTCAACCTCAGGGGCCCAGGGGTGCATTTGGTCCGGGCTGAGAAGTTGAAGTTGTTGTAGTGCGCCTCCTTTGTTCTTGGTTCGCTGTCGCTTGGTGTGTTTGGATCATCGGTAGATGCCGCTGCATATGCTGGGATTCGGCGAGTCAGCCGGCCTTCCTAATTGTGGGTTAGTTGACCGAAGGTGTTTCGAGGCGATCTCGATGTTCCCAGTCTTATGCTTGTTAGACGCCAAGGACAAGTGTTGTACGCTCATGTGCTCCGCACGCCCACAAGAATAGGCGACATTGTATGAATATCGTGATAGCAGGGAGAGGCTGCTGCGAGGATGTAAGTAAGACGAGCGCTGCGGTGCTTGCCTTTGTTTTTTATCGCGAAAATGGTTGGTGATTCAGCGGTCTCTTTCCCTCTTCGACCATTAAGTGGGCGTGTGTGTGTACTCCCGAAAGGAATCGTTGGCCACCGCGAACTGCAACGTTTTTTGTACACGCTACAGAGAGAGACTCGCCCTCCAACCTGCTATACGATAGCGTAGGAGGTTTTCCACGAGACCACCGGGGTGATCAGCACTGCCTTGTACTTGCGTTTTTCTGGTCAAATTTCGTATGAACAGCGCATGACGTTGCCATGTTTTCCCCTAACATTACGTGGATGGATGGAGGATTCACCGTGCGTCTGCTTGCCAGAAGCTATTTCAACACCCAATGTTCAGGCACCTAGATCGGGCGCAAACAAAACAGTACGTGGTCTCATTCGGATGTGCTGCTTCAGTCAGTCTCAAGCGTTTTCGCCACATTTGAAGCGCGTCACATCAGTCGAACTGACGCCATGCCTGTGCCGTTTGGGATTGCAGAATAGGGATATATATATATATGGCTTTATCACCGAAGGCCTAGACTCGACTGTAAAGTCACAGCAATTCCCCCAAATGCTATGTTTTATGTTTTATGTTCCCGCCGTGTACAGTTAGTTTAGAGCTTGGGAGTCAAGAATTTCAGGCCCTAAAGAAATATTTTTTTTTAGTAACTTGATCATAGGGACGGGTGCTCAGTCAAGCCTACGACAAAAACCTGTAAAGTTGACGTTGGCGCACTCTATCGAGAAAATACGAAACGAGCCCCGGCCAAAATAAGAACTGCGGGCGCTGACTACGAAGACGGCCCTTTCTGGACCAACCAATCAACCCAAGAGTCGCGGTCAATTCGTCCTCTCGCAGGAGGCTAGGTCAATATGCCTTCTGGGTCCTCGCTTCTGAGGGCGTGGATCAAATCCAGGAGCTTATCGTGCAGCGGTTGCTGGCCTGCGTTGAAGCGAAGTGGCGTGTAAGAGGAAATGGCTTGTTAGGGAAATGGCTTAGGGGCTAGCGCCAAGCTTGAGACAAGCAACCATTTCGCGAATGAGGTACGAGTACTCGTGTGAGCCTATCGGGTTCAAAAACGAGTTCAACCCTGGTGAAATGAGGCCGAAGTTGTGGCTGGTACCAAGCCTGAGTCATGACTTGTAAATAACCGACCACTCGACACGAGGACGAATTGATAGCAAAGAGACCCCAGGATAGAACGGGACAACAGAGGTACCAGGTCATTTCCATCGGGCGACTACACAGGTGGAATAAAGGACTGTTTATAGCACGTCGAGGAACACCTTCCACGGTACCTCTCGGCTTCGCCACGCCTATCCTTCCAGAACTTACACCCGCACACATTTTTAAGCATTCATACGACCGACCACGGGCACTTTCTTCGATATACATTGAAGGAAGCGCGCCCGACACTATGCCTTAAAAAACATTTTGGGTCTACTTTACCGCTCCAATATTCGGTTCTCCTTTGTGGCGTTGAAGCACTCACCGCCAATAGCATATGCCATCCTGGTCAACACCTCGAGGAAGCCGAAGTAGCTCAGTCCGACAGCATTTCCTGCATGTTCCTTGCCGCAACGCTGCCGCCCACGTTGAAGCGAGGCTCTGAGCAGAGCCACGATTTGACAGGATCACGCACGGTACGCAAAGTACGCGTAGTAGGGATGTTGAGCAGTTCTCCGAAAGGTATAAGAAACGCCTTTCGGTATAAGAAACGCCTCCCTACTACGCGCCACCAGGTCGTTAACGTACATCATTTCGAGGGGGGGGCTGGGGCTACAATACCGCCAACTCACCCCCCTGCATTCGTTTATATCCTGGGGGTGACCTCACCGTACAATCAGGAGTAGGATATTGTCCCCTTGCACCCATCGCCTGAGCACCGGGAAGTCGCTGACAAACCGCCATATCCCCGGTTCATTGACACATCCGGATGTTTCTTCGCCGCAGGACAACGGCAGCCTGCTTTGTTCGCCACCGAAGCGGGTTCTATACCGCTGGAACAATACCAATAGCTCTTTTTGGTGCCTGCGTGTCATGGTCACGGCATTTTGGGGGAAAAGCGAGGGGGATTTTGGTGTTTTGATGGTGTTACCACGACGACCCCTACGCACATCTTCGCCGCTGCTACTTGAAATAAGAATAGTGCCTTGGAATGTAACGTTCGGTGGCACTAACAATCTTGTTCTTGATCGTTCTAGCGTCTTCAATGGTCTTCACCACAGGCGCAAAACCTACCGACCACACGAACGCTCGCTCAGAACGTGACTCCATGGTTGGAGGACTAAATTCTTGGCACCATGTTCTTTCCATCTGGCGATTGCATGCTCCCTGGTGTATGTTGTCGGCACCACACGGCCCAAACCAAACAACCCGCGTTGTTCTCCGTGCGCCGTTTTCCCCTGGTCGATCTCACCTCGAGTAGGTGGCGACAACCCTTGGCTCGAGCAGTTCCTCGAATAGCCCGACGGAGCAGCCGGCCGCCTCGAAGTCCATCGTGATGTGGTCCGCACGGGCTGCCCGACCCACGCTCTTCAACCGATCATCGTGTGTGTCAATTCCTCGTTGTAGCGCCTTGCTATTTTCGCCGCCACCCCGACCTACCGTACTTTCGATTCTAGCCGCACTGCAGTACGAGCCTTCAGCGCCGCCCACACCCGCACACAACCTTCCTCGAGGAGCAACATGGTGAGCTGAATGTTTTCCCGGGTCTGGGCGAAGGATCACATCAGCGGTGCCCCCTCCCTGTTCCACATCGGGTGATGGTAGACCCAGGTCCGCAGCAACACGGCAGGTCGGTGCACTGCACCCCCCCGAGGCGGCCGATACCTCAAGAGAGGGCGAGCCACCGTGGCAAGGCGCCGGCGACAGCGCAGCAACGTCCTTGGTGTTGACCAGCTTGTTCGGAGACGGAACGTTAACGTTCACCGTGGCCGCCTGGACGTCGGCTAGCTTGTCGCAGCTTCCCTTGGCGCTGTCGGCGGTTGCGATCACACTTAGTCGGCTTCGTGAGTCGCCTGAAGCCTCTTCGCTCGAGCTCGCGCCGCCTTTGGCCTTGGGCCCGGCAGACACCACGGATGACGTCGCGGAAGATGTTCGCCTCCCTGGTCCGGCATCGGACTGCCCGCTGCCGGCCACCACTTCTTCTCGCCCGTCAGCAGCTACGACTTGAAGAATAGCGCCTGCCGCCGAGGTCGTCGGCGATCTTTCCCAAATTGATCCCGAAGACACCGGTGATCTTCCACGAACTCCTCCTGATGTTTCTGCCGAAGCCCTGAACTCCTCCTCCTCTGGGCGAGCAAGCACGGGCCGTGAAGCCGGACCTTTGTCGATTACCGCGTCGTCGTCGGTTGAGGGCCTCGGATGATAACTGTCGTCGGGATGTGCCCCTCCGTGGCTCGTTGCGTTGTATGTGGCACTCCTTTTCGTGTTTTCCCTCGATTTACTCTTGTACCGCGCACGACTTTGCTCGGCATCGACGGAGGCACGTGCGGCGATGCCCGTGGTTGTCTGATGTGACTCTGGCAGGAGGGAATCTACTCCGTAGCGCTTGTCCGTACTGGGAGCACCTTGCGTTACCCGGTTCTCCGGAGGGCGGGGCTGCTGGACCACACCACGCTCCGTTTTGCCGCGTGATTGTTCGTAAAGACGTTGGCTACCTTCAGAGTCGGTGCCATCGGAGTGCCTAGCCTTCTCCGTCCCATGGTCCCAGCCTAGCCCGGTGGTGGCCGTATCGAATCTCGATGGTCTCGTGTCTGGCGCAGGTTCCACACTCCCGTTGCGTTTCTCGTCTTGGCGTGTGGTCTCTTGTTGCTGTTCGGGTGGCGAGTGTCGAGACCGAAGTGGCGAGCTGGCTTGATCGTGAGTGATGTCGGCTTCTCTTAGGGTTGGCATCAACTCCATCCCCTTCCTTGAGTCATGGTAAAAGCCTCGGCCATAGGGCAGTGGGTGGTTCGCACCCGCCACTGCTTCGACCAAACCATGCCCAGGAGCTCGGGTACCCTGTCTATCCGTTCGAGGCTTGTTTTCAGCTCTCCTATGACCTGATGGTCGGTCGCACCGCCTTTTCGACGTCTCGTGGGTCCCCTTGCTACGGTCAGACACCCGCATTTTGGGAGAACTATCCTCGACAGACCAGCTAGGCGGGAGTCCGTTCGCCGCGTGTGTCGGTTCTCGAATACTACCATCATCGCCGTCCACCCTTTCCCGGCGATGCGATCCGAACGCAGGCTTACCGTTCCGGCGCCTCCTGGGCGATACGCTTTGTCCGTTCTTGACTGCCCCCACGGCCAGCGCCGCCTGCACCCGGTGCCGATGACGGGAGGAATGCCGAGACACGACATGTATGAGCGTTCATGCTTCGTTCCACGGAAGGATGATGGATCGCCAGTACGTGGAGGCGTGCTGGTGCCTTCTACATTGGACCTGAGTAGCATTTCCGCTGCTTGACGGATAGGACGAGCTACATTCGTACCCTCATTGTGCGTCCAACCTATCTCCTTTTCCAGAGGAATTGTGCTCGCTGTATGATATGAACAACTCAACGGAGAGTCCTGGTGTGGCTGAATGCCCTCACCCACGCAAGAGAGTGCGAGGAAAATGATTCCGCTGCGAAAGGAGACGGAGATACCCATCAAGAAGCACGCCCGGCTACAACAGCACTCACCATCGCTTCCAGAAACAAACTCCAGCACAATCGACCACCCCCAGGCTTCCTCGACGAAGAGGACACCCCATTGTTTCTTTCGCCCCCCATCAAGCAATAGTCCCCGCGGTCACTGGCCTCGTGGATAGCTCCTTCCCCCCAAGAATGTCTTCCGTCACTCGACGGTCCGGTGACCGGTAGACCGTTGCGAATGATGTCGTCGAAGACCGACGCCGCGTGTTGTTCGGTGACAGACACCGGGGAGACGCCTAAATCCGTCAGCATCTGCGGAGTGTATTCCGGAGAAAAATGAGTAGTTGGTTAGTCTACGCCGTTTCCTTTGTTTTTACCAGTGATCCCGTTGGACCACCGTGTGTTGCGTTGAACCGCATCAAGGGCTAGTTGGCGTCATCGTCACCGGCCGATACAGCCTTCCCTTTGATGGCATTGCTTTAAGCCAACCAGGACACAAACCTTGCGCCAGCTAGGGCACCTGTGTGCGTAACGCTTTCCGCGAGTGGCCACCTTTGAAACAACACAAGCTACGGAGGGTTACTGGGAAGACGGCAGAACGGTTCGCAATGCGAAGCGAAGGATGCAGCAACGCTCGCCTTGAGGAATTGGTTACGGTTCAACCCGCTGGCTCCGTCCCTTGCTCTTGTATCCTTGTTGTAGATGCAGTAGAGCTCGTGTAGCGTGTCTCGTTGCATGCGCAGGGCTGCCAGGGCAGGGCGGCCAAAGAGCATCTCGGATCTGGCACAGTCAAGAATGTTGAAATAGCGCAGAAACCGCCCATACCAGAGAAGTTAAGTAGGTTCCACACGTACCCCGCACGGCGAAAGAAGGAATTCGTCCAATTTCGACAGCTTGCACTCTAAGGTTTATGCCAAACTTACCCCTCTAAGCAACTTACCCAGCAATTTGTGCAGCGCTAGGAAGGAACTCAATTTCTCACGGCATGACTTCGAGGCATTGGGCCTCATCTCTCTTGATTCGCCATATCAATAACTGCTATCACCTCAAGACAACCACCTCCTCTCTCTCTCGCAGCTGCGACAGACTGCGTTACAAAGGTACCGGTGAGGTAAAACATGTCGGCATGACTGCCAGATGAGTGGTTCACACTGACAGGTTGTGTTAATGGTCACCTTGGCGACCAGTGGCGTGGTTGGTTGTCTTCGGCCAGAGGAAGTACACCTTCCGTGAGCAGCCTGTACATCGCCCTGCCCGGCTTAGCGCGTCTTCGCTCTTCTTGAGCCTCTCGTGGGTACACCAGACCGGCCACATCGGCCAGAGTTTGATAGAAATCTTCGAACGAGAAGCCGTCATCCGTGTAGTGTTTTGCAGGTCTACTGCTTCCCCCGCTGTTGTTGCTATGGCGTTTCCACGCCACGTCGGTGTGGTGGTTTCTTCTCAACCGTTCCATCACGATTTCTTCCACAGCAAGAGGGTCCAGGCCAGGACATACCCCCAAAGGATTTCCCATCCACCCGGCCTCTCTGCACAGCGTGCACAGGCTACACACGACGTCTTCCTCGTGCCTCGCTCCGCCGAAGAAACGTGAGTGCAAGAGCAAGAGCGCAGAGGCAGACTCTTCGAGAAAGAAGGCTTCTTCGTCACCAGCAACACTGGCATCCCTCCTTGCTTCGCCGTCCACGGAGCTTCGTACGCTGTGCTGTTGAAACGCCCCCCCACCACCGGAGGTACGGAATACGGTGGTACTGCTGTTTTCCTTCATCCGAGTCACGGGTGCTTCCTCCCCCATGGCCCGCGAACCACGCCCCATCGTTTTGCCTTCGCCGGCATTCCGTCGGCACCTAGGTGCGGCCCCCCCGCGTGACGACTTACCCGTGCTACGCTTGCGACATGCGGCAGCTGCCGCCTTGTCGGCGATGAAGTCGCTCGCGAAGAAAACGTTCTTGGGCCACTTGGAAAGGCGAACCACTGGCGTCGAGAACGCCCCTGAACCTGTCTTGGAGTACTTTGGCGAAGGTCGCCGCGAGTTTGTTGAATTTTCCACGTCTTGGCTTTGAAGGGTCGCCTGTTTCGTAGCAAAGAACTCGCCATTTACCATGTATTCATTCCTTTTCTTTTCTCATCTGCAACGGTTCGCGAGGCGTACGCATTATAGTGTCCCTACACTACGTATACCGTAGGCTGGCAAAAGATCCCACACCCCCTGGATTGAATTCAAAGCTCGATTACTCCACGACGACGAGGTGCAATAATCTAGTTATACGTTTGTTTCCGGAAGCTGTCCACGAGACGGTTCCAATGCCGCATGTTGGCACCGTCACTGCTGTTTTAGCTCAAGACTAATCGGACTTTGGAAATAGGTTCATGGGGTGTGGTAGTTCATGCTAAACGGTAGCCGGGGATACAGAAGAGGAGTCCGTACCGTTGGAAGTTCGGCGAAACACGTCGTGAACGTAACGTACGTAGTCTACATACGCAGGGAAAGGTGGATGCCAGGTCGATGTCCGACGCGGATGATACCTATCATACGCTTAATACTTCCAACTCATGTGCAGCACACTCATGTGAAGATATGCCCTGCGCATTGAGCACAAACATGTCGGCACATGTAGTCCAGATATATTCAACGCGTGGCTTGCTGCGCGTGGTACGTACGTATTGGCCATCTTTTATCTTTGAATCCAGTCGTGTTGTGCGTCCGGGGATATATCCTCGGACACACCCCATCCCGTCAGAATAATGTGTTGGGAAGGCCGTTGTAAAGAATATTTAAGCTCACCTGCCGCCTCTGCCTTCTTTCATTCATATCGTCAGCGCACCACCAGCAGCAGGGCAAATCAGACAGGGAGTCGTCGAACCGTCAGCGTTACGCACGGTGCATGTGTACCGCTGTAAAAGATTTTGGACATGTATGTCCAAGATTTTCGCGTGCTTGAGTTTTTGGACCATCGAGACCGGAACATGTAAAGGAGGAAGCCCGGAAGTTTGTGCTGAAAAGCCCTGCCTTTCCACGCCCACGGCACAATCGTCGCACACGCGCGCCGGTAGACAAGAGGGCCTCCCACCCACCGTGCCGACAAGGATGACATCACCGAGGATCCGATTTCCACATTTGATCACACGTTCTTCTTGTCGCGGTGCCCCCCCCCTCATCTTCACCTGTAATACTCTCTGTGCTGCCCCACCTCGTCTCACGCCCGTTCGCTGAACTGTGACACAAAGCGTGGAGAGAGAGCAAGGCAAGAGGGTACAATGGCTTTCCGTATGACTGGACGCGTTCTGGGCGCAGTTGCGCGGGAAAGGAATGACGTGCAGCCGGCGCTGAGGAAGGTTTGGAAGGCACACGAGCCCGTCGATGGCCTGGTGAGTCGAGAGGATGATGCACATCCATCCCGAAAATACTTCCACAAACGAAAGTCGCACGTAGAGCGAGCGGCCTCTTCGCAACACGTCTACAAAACGATGAGCTCGCAGCAACTGTTGCGCGGTGGAGAGGAGCCGATGTCGAGACGTCTTTTCACTGCTGTTTCGTTGTAGCGTCTCCCACACCGCCTCTCTCCAGAGCGGAAGAGCATAGCCTGGGTGTCGGAAGGCCTTTTGTTGACCCCCATGACCCATGACGTTTCACGGTGTTCTTGCCAACAATAGTATAGCCATACTCATTTCAAGGTCTAACAACGCTACAATGCTACAATTTGCTCCAAGTCGTTCATCTCAGCAGCACTGATGCATCGTTGCTGCCCCAAAGCTCCGTCCAACAGCAGCAATCCCAGTTGAAAGACCAATGCTGGTGCGCCCATAGCCACAGCAGTAGATGGGAGGAGTGGCGAAGTAAGTATGCGTGGAAGCGTGCATAGGAGTTGCGCCGCTTTTTCCCTTGCACGCCGTACGTAAATGTACGGACTCTCGATACCGTGTCCGGGGTGGGAGATCAAGTGAAAACGTAACAACCAGATGCCAGTTTAAGCTTTTGTTGCACGCCGACAACACCGAGAGACTATCCCCCAGCGTTCGGCATTGTTTTACCTTCTCCGTGATGACAAAGCCCGAAGTCTACTTGTGCCTGGTGTAGCTCCCCCTGTTTTTGCTGGAACAGAGCATCTGTCTGCGATTGCGCGCGACAAGTACAAGCTGCTTTTCACGAGCTCCCTCCTGGTGCGATGGTCTCGATGCCTCCGCCAGCAATTTCCTCACGCGGATAGGATTGCTGCTGCCCGTCTATCTGTCGGCGTTGTTACCATATACGTGATGACATAGCAACGACAGATACACCAGGAAGCAGCATCCTATCTGCGTCAGGAAAATGCTGGCGGAGGCATCGCGACCTTCGCATCAGTAGGTATATCGTGAAGAGCACCATATGTTGCTGTAGCGCACAATCGCAGACAGATGCTCTGTTCCAGCAACTCGGGGAGCAATACCAGGAAAAAAATTCGATGCACCCACGGGGACGTACGTAAGCCTGCACCCACACTTGGCAGTCCCGCCTATGCAGACCTGCACGAGCACCGTACACCACCCAAGAGCGGTCTAGGCCTACTCCGAGCACTCGCCGAGCACCATTACCCTAGCACCTATCCACGTCGCGAACCAACCTAGTACCTACCCAAGCAGTAACAACCTAGATCTATCGTATCAACACCAACCTACCGCCAATTCCGGCACACCAACCTAGAAGTTAGCCACCCAGCGCCAACCTAGCACCTATCGGTTGGGTTTGGGAATAGGGTTACGGTTTGGGTTGGTTAGAGTTTTTAGAGGGTTTCATACCCGTGCCAATTCAGAGACTAGTCTTGTGTTTAGGAGTACCATAATTGCCTTGATCACAAATCATTTGCTTGCCGGTTGAAGGGACAGGGTGCAACGCTGTGGTATAGCAAGAAAGGTTTTCGAGGCTGGAACGTTTCGTGCTTTTTTTCCTGCATGGAATGTTTTGATGTTTTCGGCCTGTGAAGGGTGTGAGTGCATGTCGTACATGCGTCCCCATGGGTTTGTGTGTGTTGTTTCGCAAAGCCTAGTCCAAATCCTCTGCCTGGAGTTGCTAGAATACCGGAGATGCTGGTAGATGCTGCATCTGCCGTATCTATATGCTGCATCTGCCGTATCTACGATTGTGCGTTGGCTGTGTTCCGGCCGCAAGGTTTGTCCTCAAGCAGGTTGGAGTGCCGCTACTGCTGCAGTGTGTTTGTGCTTGTCGTCGCATTTACTCTCGACGTCGGTCGTCCTTCTTTCGACGTTTCGGTCGGGTCAAACAAGAGGATCACTACAAGTACGCTTTTTTTCTCCTTTTCATCCTCGAGCTGCGGCGCTTGCGTTGGTTGGTATCCCGAGTACGGATTCAGTCGTTCCTGTCTAATCGACAGTGAAGCCGGTTGGCAGAAGCCGGTTGGTAGAACGAATGTATTGCCTTGCGTTCGTGCAAGCAGCAGTTGTTGAGGCAAGCCCCAATACACGTGTGACTGCGTTGATATTCCACCCCGTGTCTCAAACGTCAGAGGGCTGCGAGGCTACCAACGGAGCCAGCCACGGCTGCATGTGACCAAGCTTACAAGTATCAGGTTTCGGGGATATGTATCCTGGAGGGAAGAGAGTGCTGAACTCTTCTCGCATTAAAAATTGAAGGCGAAGTACCGCAGGAGGGGAGGGTAGAGAGAGGCTCTTCTGTGTGACCACGGGTTGGAATAAACGGCACTAGTGCCGTGAGCGCTGATTTGAAGTGAAGAACAAAAAAAAAAAAAAATCCTGGCCCGTCGTGACGGAGAATAACAGTGACACTTTTCCTGCCAACTATTTCATAGTCCTGGAAGCTCGAACCTTCAACCTGCCTAACTGATGCATGACAGACGCACTCCCATCTCTGCCGCTGCTGGCCGCTGGCGGGTAAAGGGGGCTCTCTAGTGTCTTCGTGATTGCTGATTGCTGCTCCCGGCGGTGAAAACGTGCGTATTGCTTCTCTTCGTGGTCGTTGTGTCTCACAAATCCGGCGGTCTGATCGGTACCAGGTCATCCGGTCAATTTCTCCCTACCAGCTCAACTTGGTACAGAACTTCGTTACCACCATCCCCAAGAAGGTATGGTATGTGTTCTAGACGGCGTGGTCTCGTGCGTTTGTGTTTTGGTTGTTTATTTTAGCATGGTATCGTCGTACACTGGTGTACTGATGCGGAAGGCCTTTGTTCTCGTCTGTTGGTGTTTTGTTTGTTTATTTGCGTGGTATCGTCGTACACTGGTGTACTGATGCGGAAGGCCTGCCGACGTGCTTTAGCAAAATAGGTCCTCGCTTGGAGGTTTTGTGAGCAATAACCAAGTATCACTCGCTAGGATGCACTTCCCCCAAGGCCGAGCATGTGGAGTACCTACCGTAGTTTTTAGAAAGTATACCTAACCTCACAGAAAGACCACCCGTTCGAGATAATACCACAGTCGAAGGGGATGTGTTGAGGTCTTTACAGTGAGTGAAGTTTGGCTCTTGTAGTCGACGCTCACCTGCGCTTTTATGCGGGGTACGCTAGCCGCTGCAGCTCCTAGAGTAGTGCAAGCAGGTTTGGAGCGTCGCGTTACCAGGTTCACGTGCACGGACCGTCCTCTCTGGCACTCCCCCTTGTCCTGCGTGTTGACCCTGACCCTCCTCCGCTTTCGGCTGTCCGGCAAACTGCGCGCTTGTCCTTGCGGTGTGATGTGGTCCACCAGTTGAAGACTCGCTTCATCGAGTACGGCCCTGAGGTGATGATGTGCGTGGGCCTTGTGTACGGGATTTACACCAGCCACAAGAAGGGCTTCGCGCAGCTCCACAAGGACCACCGGGACTAGACAGACCCCGTGCACACGCGGTGTAGCAGCACCGCTTGAGGGAAGTTTTAAGTGCGGCTTTGTGGGCTATGAGAGGATTGTTGTCATTCGGGATCCAGCAAGGCTACTACCGTTGTTGTTTCGGGGACTCGGAGGGGGGGGGGGGGAGGGTATGGACCCCACGTGGCTGGAAGATGGACACACGTTGGGATGGTTTCGGACACGCCACCTGCTGTTTATGTCTAACCTTGTCGTTTTGCCGGGGGCATCAAGGAAGGGAAGACACAGGGTGGGTGTGCAAGGCCCGGAATTGCATGATTGTCATGCGCCGTTGTGGGGTTGACTTGATGAGGGGTCCAGTCTCTTGCTAGGCAGGCAGAGGGATTCGGTCTCTTTTCGACATCGGGTGACTGACTGTGTGTCTGTCACCGCACAGGCGGTTTCATATCATCAGCGACTTCGTAGTAAAAACGATTGATTTTTTTCCACAAATCTTCGTGCATTTTGAGGTGGCCAAAGTCGTTCGTGGTGAATGTTTTGGCAGAGCACCAGTGAACAGCAAAGCGTTGGTTCGATCCTGCCCACACCGACTGCATCAAGTACGACTGCGGTCTTGGAGACAGACACCCCGGTGTGTCCACCCTAAAAGGGTTCAACAGTTTACACTATAACTAGATCGTGGTTACACCAACACTCATCATACGATACCCGCAGTAACAGCACACCCGGAGGCTGCTGTTGTTGGCGACACGTTGGCATCAAAACCACAAACATTAACGCACACTTCTCAAATGTTACACAAACAGCAGGACCGCCTGTAGTAATCGTAGCCTCATCCTGGAATCGCGTCCTGGAATCGCATGTTGCTGAACGTGGAGAGCAACAACCCCGAACATTCCAACTCCACTTGACACCTGCCACCACTTCAGTAATACCTCCCTGCACAGCTGGACATCTTGAGGTAAGGGCGACCAGCCAATACAACCCTAACCTAACGCTACAGCACTGTAATTGCCCCCCCCCCCTTCCGTGAAGCATCATGCTAGCGTTAGCGCACACGGTGCTGTGCGATGCTCTGCTCCGCTCTTCTACACGAGCTCTCCGGAGTCGGTGATCTCCACCTTTTCCGAGAGAGCTCCGCTTCGGCTGCCGAGCTTCTCGATTCTGGACACGAGTTCCATGCTCTCTTCCTCCACCTGCCCAAGGGCAAACGCGAAGGAAAACGCGGACGCCGCGTTATTGTTTTCCACCTTTTTACATTACCATTTTCGTCCCCATTTCACCGCATCGTCAACGCTATCGCCGTCGCCGACGCAACAAACAGCACACATGTATCGAAAGGAGTATGTACCAGTACACAAACTAAAGGACCTACGCAGCAGCAATCAGGAACTGGTTTTAAGCGATTGCTGCAGGGTGCACCCCAAAACGCTGGAAGACAGGGGGGGGGTCACGGCAAGGCCATTCACGTCTACCTCCGGGGCTCTGGGTAATCCAAATACGGCCGCGGACGCTGGTTTGCTGCTTTGATTCTTAAGAGATGTGTAGTGCCGTACCTATTCCTTGCCTAATGCGGCACCTGCTGGTGTAGTTGGTACCATTTCCCACATGTCCCAACACGTGCTGGAGTGACGTCAAACCCTCGCATAGTGCTAGCTATAAACGCCCCCCATCAAAAACCCTCTTGGCGATCCCAAGCATCCTTGACTCGTTTTAGTTCACCTGTCCGAAGATGACGTGCTTGCCGTTCAACCACGGAGTAGGCACGGTGCAGATGAAGAACTGCGACCCGTTCGTGTCCTTACCCGAGTTGGCCATCGACAGAACTCCAGGCTTGTCGTGGATCAGCTCAGGCTGGCCACCAAGACGCGCGGACAAGCGAAAGGGTACATGCAAATATGACATAATGTATCGTGCCATGGTTACTAGAATGTACGCGGGAGCAAGCAAAGGGGACGTACGTATGTGCCCACCAATTGCATGTTTTACATATGATATGTAAATGCATCGTGAAAACATTACTCTACGTAGATGTGATGTATTGGAAGAGGCTGCCACGAGCGGCGACATCTTTGTGAGAGCGTACATGTGTTTGGTTCGTATTTTGTCATGACGCCAAAGCCGCATCCAACTGAATTTCTCGCAGCCAACCCGGAAGGTCAGAGTGTAGTCGTACCGTAAATAACGAAATACCGATAACATTACTGTGACAGCCCTCCACACCAACGGCGAAACACTTCACTTGTGCGTCTCACAATGCATATGTGCGCACGCACTACTGCTGGTCTTTCATATTTGTGGCGCTGACCCCGGGAAGGTTTATCGTAGTACCTGTCGGCAAAGGAGCCCCCCCCGCAGAGACAGAGACAGCTCTATTGCTTTGTACCTCATATGTTACTAGCAAAATCGCTCGAAGATGGACTCTGCCGCTACTGCTGTACTCTGGAGAAGGTGTGTCATGTGTGAGAGTCGTCTTCTTCCGCGGTACATACACAGGTCATGTCCACGCTTGTACATTCTCTTCTACATGCGCAGTACACTCAACACTATCCACAAGGGAAACCGACGGCTGGCCCCTTCTTGCCACAGAAAGACTCGAGGCAAACACGGCAGACAAGTGGAGACAAGAAAAAAAAACGACATTAGGTGCGTCCTCTCTCGCCCCTGTTTGTGCCCGGATGATACATGCTGTCAACAAAGCTGTGTGTCGGTATTGACTGTATGATGATGGGGGCACTGCACTGCTGTACTGACTCACGGGAAACGCTTCGTCGTCAAACTTTCCGCCGTAGATAGACTCGCCACCCGTACCAGTTCCGTGGGTGAAGTCGCCGCCCTGGAGCATGAACTGCACGTTTCGGAGCAAGGGAGGGTCCAAGAAACTTGGTTCAGTGAACCGCGCCTCCAGCAAGCAAAGCAGTGCAGCTCAAGGAGGACGCCTGGGCTATTTGGTCGATGAGGCATAGTTGCAACACAAGCACCAGCACCAGCTAAACCACAGAAACTGCGCCTCGATTTTACGCAACGAAGACTGAGCCTGGTGGGCTTAGGTCAACGGTACGGCGGTGTTCTGAGGCGACCGTGCAGCAATACGCTGCTGTGCCGTCGATGTGTGTCAGTCAACTTGGGGCTTGTTATTCTGTTCTGGTGGATGGGCACATGTACAGCAGTAATAGTGCCATTCAGTGGCGTACCTGCGGGATGACGCGGTGGAAAGCAGAGCCCTTGTAGTGCAGCGGCTTTCGGTACACCTTTCCAGGCCCGGCCTCCCCGGTACACAGTTGCCTGAACCGACACCAATCACCCAATCAATGCAGTAGTTGAGAGTCGTGGCGTCAGCCGAGTGAGGATAGAAAAATCACGGCGAATTTCGCCAACATGCTAGGGTTTCCCGTCGATGGTTGAATGTGCGCATGCCATATGCGTGTACCAGAGCAGTCCAACTCGATTCCAGCAAGCAAGCAACAACGTAACCTCAAACGCTATTGCAAAAGCGTGTGTGTTTTTGTCTCGCCACGAGGCGCATGTCTTTTCAGTGGTCAGCCCATTTAGCGTGGTTTATGGTATTATAGATAAAAAGAAGCACCCACACCCACACTCACCTAAAGTTCTCGACCGTCTTGGGTACGGCGTTACCGAACAGTCCCATCGTGATGCGGCCAGCCTCCGTTCCACCGATGCTGATGTCGAAGTACACACGGTGAGTCACCTGCGGCCAAGCGGTCAACACACAGCCCGAGCAACTCAAGAAGAGGCCGGCGCAAGAACTGCATATTCATATCGCCATCAAGGCAACATGGAACGACAACAAGATGCGGGCGTGCTCGACGACTTTTCTTCCCGTAGTTCGGCGAAAACACGGTGGTGATGTAGGAAATTTCGATGGCATTCGTTGTTGATGCCAAACAACAACATCTCGGCTGCCATTTCGAAGAGAAGAGCTCGATGCACACACGGGCGTAACTCACGTCGCTTATACGTGATACACAGCAAGTTCCCTACATGTCCATCTGGAGAACATAAACTGAAGGAGGAAAAGAGGACTTGACTAGAAAAATGAGGGTCTCGCTGGCCCGCCCCCGATTGGGAAATACATCTGGGAACACTTGGGCCATTCCACACACGTCAGACCCGTTCGTCCATCTGCGCGCACTGCGGGCGGGAAGCAGCCACAACTCCCCGTACCCATTTCCGATTAGGCGCTCACACATCGATCATGTTCTTTTGCACACCGTCGTCAGGTCGTCAGAAGCTCAGGCACCAAGACGAAAGCAGCGTAAATCCCGACTGTTGCTGTTGCTGCGGCTCCTCTACTATTACTACATCAGTGCAAGTGAGGCGGGCATGTGCTGCAGTAGTGTGCGCCCACGATTCAGCACCTGTCTTACGCAACCCGGCAAAGCTTGTACTCCCTGTTGGTTCACCACCTTGGTTTTTGTAGACCTAGGGTCCGCGTTCTATGTTTTGACAAGCTTACAAACTTGGAACCCTAGCGTTCTTACATGCCATTTTATCATGTGCGAGCGCTTGCTGTACGTCTACAGAGCCACGGGCCGGCAAGGAACAACTACCCAAGAGACTCTTGACTCACATCAGTCACGTCGGCATCGGCACTCACGGTGCCGGCGACAGTAGCCATGCCGAGAATCAAGGCCTGGAAGATCTTCATCGTTTCTGAGTGGAGCGTTCTTCCTTTCCCTTTACCTGGCAGTGACCAATCGGATGGCGGGAGGTGCGAGCATGGAATACGAGAACGCGATGACAATCAGGGGGCAAACACAACGAGCCGTATGGATACCAAAAACAGGGACGAGCACGTTCATGTTTCGAGAAACAACGCACACCGACAGATCAATGGAAGAGAGAAAAAATCGACTTGGCATGCGACTACTGCTGTGGGTCATGGGCAGGGGACTTGGAAACCACAAGTACCAACCCTCTGATGCTTGCGCGGCGCCACCAGCACTCTGTGACCGCCACATGCGTCTCTCCAGCGACGAATGCAAGCTCGATCGCTGAGTTGAAGAAGATCAAATGACAAATGATGGTGTACGGTGGAATTCCTTTGGGGTGGTGGATGTGGTGCGGCCGAGTTACATGCATAGAGGATGCGAGGTCGACGATTCCTAGAGATGAGCTATTGCAGAGACTCCCCGTGAGCTAACAAGGAACTGCTCAAAAGAGAGTATCAGCAGCGAAGAACATGAACTGCACATGAGGTGTTGGCAGAATATGAACGTTGAAAACCCCCCCTGTCTGGTGCCCTGGGCCCCCACCTCACCAACACGCCCGCATGCGGTTCTTTTGGGCATCGCACCAGAGAATACGCATGAGGCTTGCTTGAGATTTTCCCCCAGCGTGATGATAATCCTGCTGTGCAACTCGAAGTTGTAACACACGTGTGTTGCTGTTCGAGCGGGTAAGTCTTTTATGTGTCATATGTGTACATTTATGTTTCCTTAAAAGGCGAGTAGTTTGTTGCTGTGGGAGGAACGAATTGCGGAATGGCGTTGAACTGTGGCCCTTCGTGTGTAGGCACAGACAGGGTACAGCTCATCCGTCAGTACAAGCAAGCACCTCCTGCCGGTTGCTCTGGTGTGTGGTTGCATCTCTACCGGGGCTGTGGGCAGCCCGTGGCGTTAGACACTTAGACATCCGCGCCTCGCAGGCAAACGATCCAAGTGGGCCAATGAAAAGCTGTAGAGCTTGTCGCAAAATCACTCCGCGGAACTCGGAAAGAAAGAAGCCACAGCGGCAGACAGCGGCAGTTGGGTGCATTGTTGTAGCTGCTGTGGGTGTCACGGGGACGGGCGAGTGAGTACCGCGTCTTGTCCAGCCACCTCTTGTGGTGAATCTGTTTGATGTGGTGCCTGTGGACTGTCGACACAGCAGTTAGCCAACGTCCCCTCCACAGCGAGTAGAGGTCTCTCGTTTTTGTAGGCTGTCTCCCAAGTTTGTTCTGCTTCCAACCAACGCACACCCTTGACCCCTGGGCATCTGTCAGGGCATAGCGCACCGACGGTCGCCTAGAGAACGACGACAAGACGGATGCAGCTACTGGAGTCGTGCACGAACACGCTTTTCGGCGCGTAGCAGCTATGTATCCATGAACACCCCAACGGCGGGCTGTGTGTGGACCGAACCTTCAGACAAGGAGAAGGGGAAATCGAAGGCGTGCACTGCTATTGTCAACAAGATCCTCAGCGCTTGCGGCACGCATAACAGATCGGATACATCCTCTCTCTCCGCGCTAACCGCCGAAATATCTCTGCCTCTCATCTCTTACCTGACCTGTCTGGTGTTGCTGTGGGGAGAGAGGAGAGCCTTGTGTGCTGTGCAACGACAACAAACAACGAACGCCACGACGGGAGAACCTCACCTACCGTCAGCTGATCACATACCCACCGTAGCAATTCGCGTCACCCCCTAAAATGCGGCGCAACCTGCCGAGGCCTGCTCCGCTGCCCCCATATGCATCACTGCACTCAACACTCACTGCTTGTACGTCCAGGGCTCTGCGTGTAGAGTGCAGGGGATGGATTTCCGCGCAGGTCGATGCTCCGATGGGTCGAGAGATCCTGCCACGATCTGTGAGTGCTTTTCCAGCTTTTGACAACACACACTATATTCGTCCAACCAAAGGCAGCGTTGTGTGTGGAGACAGCAGGAGGAGGTTGTGGGCGTGCTTCGTCGCTGGAGCGGCTCTCTCGCCTCGCGATTGTCCCGCTGTCACACTCATGACCATCTGTTACGCTGGTAGGCTCACTCCGGCCTTACGGCGATGAGGTCTCCACTACAAGAGCCTTTCAGTGTACGGTGGGCTCAGCACATGATCCGGCAAGCAACCTGCTGCTAGCGGACACCCAGGTTCAGGGTGGGCGACACATAGAGCGGGCGCGCGGGACAAAGGTCACAGAGGAGGTACCGAGGCGAAGCTACGACAAAGCTGTTACCAATAGCCGGAAAAAATGTTTTCCAGTACCGCAGTATGTATGGCTGTAAAACAGAGAGAGATATCTGCCTCATCAGAACCGCGCGTTTGCTTTGTACTGCAGCGGTTGTGGAGCGTTGCCGCCCACAGGTGAGTGGTCGGGTGATCTCACGCTTGCCTCGGCGGCGGTTGGATCAGGGAAAGGCTACTTTTTTTCACTGATTGGTCCAGGAAGTTACGAGTACTTTTCATGTTTGTGCCCCTGTTTGCATCCCAATATATGTGTCTGCCGTGAGTCATGCCAGCCATTCCTGAAACTTTCAATCGATCCAAGACGATCCGAAAAATCGCCTGTTTGTTTGTCCCAAACTTTTCTGATCCATGGTTAGGAACAGATTGGAGAGGGGTAAGACCGTATGGCCGCCGGCGGCTGCGCAACGGTGCTGCTGCTCCCAGATAGTCTATACCTCCCAATACATACTGTACACGTAGCCGCTCTTGGTGAAAGCGGTCGTGAGGTCCCCGGTTTACAGCAGCAGCAGCAGCAGCAGCAGCAGCCATGCCAGTGGAACGTAAACGCCTGAGAGCAGTTATCCAGCGGTGCTGTTGTGTCTTGCTCCACACATCGGCTAGCGTACACCCGCAAAATGAAACCACACTGCTGCCAGGTGATGAGATGTGACTTTAGTGCGAGGATCAGCACGTCAAAGATAGGCTCATGTTTTTCTGCACTCGTCCATCCGCCCATGTTCGAGTTTCAAGGTGAGGCGTCGACTGCTCCCTTGATCCGCAATGGAGATATGGTGGTTTTCTTCGAAGGCCGCGAACCCATCGGCTTCGACCGCATGAAGGCCAAGACCATCTGGCAATGCCGGCACGGGGCATTTCACCACGATGAGATAATCGGCAAGCCTTTTGGATCAAGGGTGCGCATGAAGTTTAACCGCAAACAGAGATGCCTTAAAATGTGCCTCTCGGTGTAAGTAGAAGCCGAACCCTACCAAAGATCCTACCTACCTTGTCAGTTTTTTAACCACATTGGTTTGTTGCTGATGTCGACGTTGCTCTTATCGTCGTTTTCGCTGATTTACTCTGCGTCATGAATAGCAACACTTTCAAGGTCACGCACACCGGTTCAAGGCTTGGAGGACTTGTGTTCGCCTATGATGGTGTTTATGATGGTGTTATATGGCATGATCATATGAATGAGGTATCAACACCGGGTGTCCTATACATGAGGACGGTAGCTTGGAGTGGCGGGCCGAAATGAGGATCGTTTCTACATCCTGCCGTGGCCTCTGGACTCGAATATGTTCGCACTGTTCGAACTGCTGTAGCACCCCGACATAGCATAGCCACGCAGCACAGCGCACAACATTGGTGCGTGAGGCGGACCCTCCTTCGTTTGTTTCCACTCTACGCCCATTGCCATGAATCGCAACTCCTCCTCATCGAACCAACGTCCCCTTGTCTCCCACCTCTGCTTCCTCGATACCACCCCTTATCTCCGTTTCTCGTGATCTGCCAGGTGTTCTCCCGCACCACGAAGGGCTACGTGTACGCCTTGTCGCCAACGCCGGAGCTCTGGTCCCACGTCGTGCCCAACCGCACGCAGATCGTGCAGGTGTGCCACCTCTAAGATGCTAACCCCAGCGAGCTCCATCTGCAGCCACGGCTGGCTTCCTGGTTCTTGTGTGGCAGCATTCGTGTACTTTCTGTTGGGGTAGGGGTACGATTAGGGAGGCGTCGTGTGCTTTCTGTTCAACGCTTGGCGTGCTATGACATTACGTTCGAACGCACGCCAACACGACAGGCCCAATATGTTTTACCTGTTGTGGACGTATCTTGCCTGCTTAGAACGTTCTCAGGAGAGGGATGGATCGCGCATGACTCACATCCGGCCGAGCCTGACGTACATCATGTCGTGGAAAGTGCAACGACTTCGTTGCCTGGCCGGTGTTTGCGAGCAAGAACGCCGCATGCGTATCCTAGCATCCGCAGCATCACCATTGCCACAGACGCATCTATGCCGGCGGCGCGCTGCCCTTCAGTACCCTGCGTCTTCCCCCTTGACCCCCTTTTATTCGTTCCCGACTCCCTATTTTTAGGACTTCGACCAGAGCATCGTGATTTTTCGCCTTGACCTGAAGCCGGGGGATACCGTGGTGGAGTCGGGCACAGGCAGCGGGGTCATGTCGACGGTACGCACGCCCACGACAGTAGAAGGAAGAGTAGTTGGGCATGTTACAGCGTGAAAGTCGACAGTTCGCGACATTCGCTATAAGTTGTCTTTCCCTTTATTTGTCCTTGTTTTGGTTGATCCAACACCAGCATGCTCTAACCTATGCAGATAGGTTGCCCTCGCCGACAGCTTCCCACCGAAACCTAGACCACTCGTCCTCCTGCTTCCTTTGGTTGCTTTCATTGCAAAGCGCGCTGAAGCGTCCCGTGTTCCATGTCTGAGTACTGCTCCGTTGGGTATGCCAGTAGCAAAACTCCGAGTTCATTGCACCTTTCCCCCTGTGTTTGTTGTAAGGGGTTCAGTCCCGCCCTTGACTGTGTACTATCGGACACAAGCAGTAGCACACCACCAGCAGCTTAAGCCCCCCCTAACGTTTCTTCCGAGACGGGTAACTGGCACGATCCCGCACTGCTCTGGCCATGGCAGGCGATCATGCGCACGATCGCGCCGTCTGGCTTCTTGCACTCCTTCGAATTCAACGAGTTCAGGGCTACAAGGGCCCAGGAAGAGTTCGAAGAGAACGCGCTGGGTGAGCGTTCAAGATTATTTCGCACATGGTTCCGTACAGAGCTACATAGCACGTTAGTTTTCGAATCTAGGCGTTGGATATGTTTTCTAAACCATGGAAAAGCAAATCACAAACTGAGGCAGCGAAGTGCAGCTGGTGAACGATGTAAGTGGACCATGGTTTTCGATATAAGCGTTCACGGACCAAGGAGCACAGACGTCCAGAATATCGAATAGCTTTTCCCACTAAAACTCAGGCACTGCACGCGTTTTCTGCAGCTGGTCCCCCCGCCTAGGAGGAAGAATCAACGCCGCCTGTCGTCGACCCCAGCCCTTGTTTTTTGCAACGCCTCTGATGCGTTAACATCTTTTTTTTTTTGTGATGATGAGTGTTGTAGCCAAGCTTGAACCCACCCGATTTCGGGGTACTGTGCCCTGCCTCTTCAAGGCGGCCTCGTGAAGGCTGTACATCGAGACGTCTGCGCCGCGAGGGGCGACGGAGGCGGTTTCGGCGAAGAGCTGGATGGCAAGGCGGACGCCGTATTTCTCGACCTCCCGGAGCCCTGGCTGGCCGTGGCGCACGCCAAGATGACCCTCAAGCCCGGCAAGAAGCTCTGCTCCTACTCACCGTGCATCGAACAGGTGAGAGTTGGTTACTTCCACCGCTTGGCTAGAACGTTGTGGGTGGTTGGCGCTCCGTACATACGCCCTTGCAACACTTGGTGCTGGTGCAGTTGGCCCCACTCCTGCGCATACGGCGTGGTATGAACCCACCGCGCAGCATGTATCACAGGCGCTGTCGTGTTGAGGAGCATGACGAAGAACGTCTTTTGTCTTTTTGGGTCCGCTCTGATCCCCGTGCTAGCTATACCTTTGTGGGAGAATCGCCGTGCTTCTTCTGCACGATTTTCCTTTCCTCGAAGAAACGAGCGCGCGATCGCGCCTCCTCCTCCAGGTGATGAAGACCTGCGAGGCTCTCCGCTCGGAAGGCTTTCACTCAGTTTCTACCATCGAGTTTCGCCTCCGCAACATCAACTACGCCGAAGTGCAGCTGGACGTGCCCGACTTCGGATCCAATGAAGCAGCAGCAGCAGCAGCGGCAGCATCCACCGTTTCCAAATCGCCAGCTGCTTCTGCAGCCGCCGATCACGACGGCAGCAGTAGCAATAGCGCAGTAGCAGGCGGTGGGGTACATGGAGAAGTGGACGGGAGACCCATGGGAGCTGTGACAGTCGAACAAGAAAGCGCTGATGGCGATAGCGGTGGTCCTGCAGCAGTGGTGGAAGCGAAAGGAACAAGCGGCGTTTCGGCGCAAGATGGTGCCAAAGTCAGCAGCCAGGAGGAGGCTTCGGGGGTGGGCGAGAACGGGGTTACCGCAAAGGGTTGCCACGAGAACGCCAGCGATGTTGCTGCTCCGAGCAGTGAAGGTATAAAGCCGATGGAGGGCGACCAAGCGGCTCTGCCGGGCTCTAAGAAGCGGTCTCGAGAAGAAGGGGGCGGGAGCGGTGCTGCAACGCCCGGAGTCGACGATGGGGCTTCGAGAACGGGGCGCGGGCGGAATGAGCGGCTTCAGCCCAAGGCTGCGATACGCGCCGCGGAAGCGGCGGCGGAGAAGGTGGGGGGCGCGCGAAAGCCCCCCCTCAAGCTAGTGTGCGCCCAACCGTTCCCGTTGATGCGGGGGCACACTGCCTTCCTTACGTTCGCCACCGCCCCAGTTTCACGGCAGTTAGGTACGGCAGCGACAGCGGAGGCAACAGCAGCAGCTTCAGGAGCACCAGCAGGAGGAGCAACATCTGACGGCGTAGACGGCAGCGAAGACGGACACAAGGCAGGCATAGCGGGCGACGCAGAAATCGCATTGAATCGCAGCGAGGGTGACGCTAGCGGCGGCGGCGGCGGCGGCGGCGGTGGCAGTGGTGACAGAATGGACGTGTGCGAGGAAGGGATCGACGGGAAGGGCAAGGGCAAGGGCAAGGGTACAGACGCAGACAAGACCGACGACTCCCCGGGAGCATCCGCATCCGATGTAGTACCGGAAACGCCTGACTCGTCCTCTCCCGCTGGACGATAGCAACGGTGTTTGAACTAACGGAGCAATGAGGACACCTTGGTCTTTCCGGCAAAATTAACAGCAGTTGCAACGCTTACATGTCCGTCCTCAGGTTCCACTGGCGGAGGGCCGTCGAAGACTCAAATTATCAGCCCAGACTAGGATGGCAGAGTGCACTTTCAGAAGCGTGTGTTGGTGTGTTCACTTCGCACCGATCGTGCTTGTACCGGGTTGACCAACTTAAAGACGCTCGGCCTCAGCGGGTGAAAATCATGGTCTCTAGAAGGGGGCCAGAATTCGAAGAACCGCCCAAACCCTGGGCGCTGAGTATTGTCCTCTCTCCAAGTTTCTCTACGGGAGAAACATGCAGTCGTTTGTGTGAAGATGTAAATGTGAGGTTGTATCGGGCTGCCTAATGAAAAGACGCAAAATATCATCCTTGCACAAAGAGATGAAAAAGTCCGAGACGCATTCTCGCGTGGCGGGCCTGCTCTTGTTTGCGTGCACTTTCCGCCAGTCCCTGCCCCGTTTCTTCAAGAGAAAATGAGAGTGTTGCTGCTGAGCACCTTCGTGCCATGAGGGATGACCGTTGAAAGAGCAATCAATTTCCTCTCCGAGCTAGCAGCTTGTACTGGTTGGGTGCACCCTTCGGAGAAACAGGCGCTGCGAGACCAAGCACGCTGACGCGTCTTATCGAACCAGGCATTCTTGCTCACCTACCAGCACACGCATATGATCAGGAGTCAGGGCGGCGGGTGAGACTAGAAGGGGTTGCGTGCACGCACACATGCCTGGATTTCATCGTCTGTTTAGGCCACCTCTCTGGGTTTTCTATCACCCATACATGTATGTTTAGAGCATGCATACATATGCATGCATAACCTTGGCTTTGAAGTAGTGTCCCCTTCCGATAGCAGGCAACTTTGAAGCAGCAGATGTCCCTGGGTGTAGTTTTGATGGATTTCCTGTTCAGGACTTCGTGCAGCACGCGGCCGTCTTCTTCTATTATTTTGCTCCAGGTTTTCGTTAGACAGACGTGTTTCTCTGAGGCGTGGGTGCCAGAGCATTACTCAGAAAAAAAATGCCCTTTCCCGCCAAGCACTTCAAAATGCTACCGTAGCTACAGTGTGACCGAGAGAAAACAAGACCTCCGAAACTCGCCATGTTGTGGTGTACTTGTAAGCATGCATACTCATCTGGGATTGTTGAAGATGTGACCTGTGGCCATACATACTGGTTTACTGTAGTAGACATGGAACACGGGCGAACACGCAGATTTCCTACTCCCCCGCGGGCATTACAATACTACGAGGTATTTGTGGATGACCGGTAGTAGAGCTGACAACTTGGAGCTGAATGGCTTCATTCGTGCATGATCTCATGGCCCTCTCAGCTGAAAAAGCCTCAAACAAATCCAAACCTAATTAAAACCAATGGATCCTGCGTCACCCCCCAAACGTGAAACTTTCAACAAGCCCTGGGGCAAGCCAGCCACGAGCAACGAGCTGGCAAGCTACCAACCAGCAACAGACACGGGAAAGCGGTCACCAACAGGATCACACCTTCTGCAGTAGCGACGACATGGCAGCCCTCTTCCTGCTTCGTCGTCATGTGGCGAAGGTATGTGCATAGTTGCGCCTGCGCATAGCCGAAAGTGCTGCACTGCTGTCACCCGCCGTATTCATTTCGACTGCACACTTGAACATGGCCACACTTTCCACGTATATGTGAGGTCTTGTTTCCTCCAATAGAGAGGCAACTCGTCTCATATCGCGTCATGCAGGTGACCGGGGCTCGTTGATGAGAGACGAACCCTAAATACAGTGCATTTGCCTACAGCTGCTGTTGCTGTTATCGTCTCGAAAACATGTGTCAATGCAGTACAACTTGTATCTAAAGAGGGCCACTACAAGTAGAGACCGCAGCTCATGGCACGCCGTCAAGCTCGACTTGGCGTAGATGCCCACTCCAGGCCTTTGGTAGGGCTAGTGGACCCTATAGGGGGTAACCCTCTTACCGGACGACCGACGAGAGTAGACAAGCAGTCGCCAAAAGCAAGCAATGGGTGGTGTTTTTTATTTTTTTTTCCCGCAGAGCCAGCGGGATGCATCCATGTACGATAGGAAGATGCATGTGTAAAGTACAACCCTGACACATGACAGCATGGCGGCGCAACCGCGCCAATACCGCAACCCTCGCACTTTAAGAACGACTTATTTTAGCCGAGTATTATTGAATGTTTTCTCTGCTTAGTGCTGTAACCCTACAATGATACCATATGGTGTGCTATTGAACACGAAGGACTCTTTTCTCGTCCGAAAAAGCTATACAATATTCGGCACCGATTCCCTCGGCAGAACCAGGGGGAACCCTCCTCGCCAAACATGTCGTTCATGCAAACCGAATGGACGTGTCGTTTGCACTCTCCACACATGTGACTGCGTGACTGCCGGTCTCGTTGAGCTTGCAGTTGGGCACGGCGCACGCGTTGGGATTACGGTACGGCCCCCGGCGTGTCGTCATAACCATAGGCGCGGATTTACGCAGGGGTGGTCTGTGTAGGCTGGGGGTGGAGAGTAGTTGTGTTGGAGATGGGCGCAAGAGCGCACCCCACGGCCGGCGGCATGCGGCCAGCAATCAGATCTTGGGAGAAACACGTCAAGATCCGGTTGTCGGACAACAGGCTCGTGCACGATATCTCCCACCGATAGCCAACAACGGCGCTCTACGCACGCACTGCATTCTGTAAGGTTGGGTTTTTGATTCCCTCGAGATACTTGCCCAACGAGAGCCAAACACAACATGCTAGAAAACCATACCACGACTCAAGACCGATCCGAATACTTGCATCCGCATGTCCATGTGTGCAAAAATTGTTGTCATGTCAACGTTCCTGTGCTCTGGGGGAGAGTATCTATTGGCTATACTTTCCTTAAGTGATATGTTCAATCTCGGTGCTGTGCCCTCATCACGGCACCCCGGCGAGACTGCCACAGATGCAGACCTTCACCATGGCGGCGTGCGCTTGGTTGCGCTTGTACAGCCGTTGGCAGCTGCTGTGCTGGCGTGGCGTTCATGTCGTGAAACACTTGTGGGTGTTGCAAAGATCCAACCCGCTTATTCCGCGAACCTCTTCCCGTGTAGACTGTCTCGCTCATTCCACAAGCGAGCTTGGTGTTGGTGAGCTACATGCAGGAGATGAACACAGCAGCACAACCCAGCCTGCCTGTTCTGCCCTTGGTCCCTGACCTCACAGGTATGAAGCCGACTGAAACAACAGCAGTTCCTGCCACGGACAGTCCCGCGTTGAGCCTTTTCTGTTGTCTTTTCCTGTCCTGCCCAGCTGTGTGCGTGCTGTGTTCACGGTTGCCGATATTATCTATCCCTGTGGTGGAGGGACCACGCCTTAGACCGACGGAGACCTACCGAAAGAGTCGGAGAGATGGCACCCCCGTGTTAGCGTTTTTGTATAGCGTATTTCTCCACAACCGGCGGGGTGCCACTGCCGAAAAGGGTAGTTTTGGAAACATCTCGTGGAGGGCTTTCCTGAGAGGCATCGGTTGGTGTTCGCACCCTCCCAGTTGTGGAGAAATACGCTGCACAAAAACGCTAACACGGGGGTGCCATCTCTCCGACCCTTACGGTATTGCCCGAGGGCAGGGGGTTGTTCGGAACCTCTTACGCTCTCCCAATGTTGAGCGTTGGGCCCACAGTTGTTCGGTGAACCACCATGTGCTCGCCAGTGAGTGCCTGTTTAACATAGACTTGTTAGAATGGGGATTTTGGCAATATTTTCCCGCTATTCTTGGCTGTCAGAGACAGTTGCATTCCGTGCTCAGTACTCCCTCAGAAAACAGACTACGTCTCGGATTTTTCATGACTCTATCTCGATAGGACAGATAAAAAATTCTGACCCCCATCAGCGCGCCAGCAGACGCTACCAGCTAGGGCTGCGCGTCTTTGGTAACGGCAACCCTCACTCTTCTGTCTCGATCCGACGAAGTGAGAAGATCCAGCCTGTTGGCCGAAATTCCTGCAGTGGCATCCCCTGTGCCTAATAGTTTTTTCGCACCAGAAACGAGTCCTTGGTGGAGGTACTCTATAGGAATCACGCAGTCACAGATCACAGCAGTATATAGGCGTACAAGTACGTCTTGACTGAACGAGCCCTCTGTTTGGTCAAGTTCATAGTATTTTCGGCATTTGAGCCTCTTACAAATGGCCGCGCGTTCTGTGTTTAGAACCGTAACCAACAAGACCCAGAGCCTAGCCACTTGATCGAGAAGTGTAAAAACAGAAGTTCCTGTTGTATAGTAGCACGTGGAGCCAACTACATCCAAATACAGTCAACAACATGTAAAAATGAGACTTGTCCTTACCCACATGCCACGTCTAGGAGGTGGAGTGTTTGCCATCGAGACTATCCCTCTGGTCACGGCAATTCCGCTTCCCACCCTCACAACGCTCTTTCGTCATCATACTCTTGCAATTTTTAGCATACACGTCATAGAATCTCTAACAACACGTTTTCCCTATCGTGGTATATATTTTTGGGGTTGGGGTGTTGTTCGGTATTGTTTTGGATATTTTTATTTTTCAGTTTTGGGGACGCAATATGCGAGGTTTTCTAGTTAATTCCACGCATACGTGTGTGGGATGACTTTCCCGCCACATATGTTTTCTGTTGGTGGGAAAACACGGGTTAGGAGTAATTCGAACCCACTTCGGCATGCGGCAGAGTAAGGCGCCCATTCAATCCACCAGATAAGTCTTACTTCCATACGACAATCGAACCGTTCTAATTGATGAGTCACAAATATATACCAAACTAGACCGGCTGATTCCCGCCTGCTTTTTTTATTTTCTGGTCCGTCGAACGCACCACCAGTGGGCTCGGTCTGTGGCACATACATACAGATGACCGTTCAGTTGTCAAACGGGGACCTACACACAGAGCCGGATTTAATTAATAGTCTACACAAGGCCGACGGCGTGAGCGGTGGGGGCACACAGAGGAAGCGACTTGTGAATACAGATAAGTACTGAAACCTACACAGCCGTTCCGTCGTCAAACCGGGGACCAACACACAAGACGGATTTAATTGATGTCAATTTTTTCTAGTCAATAAGCAATTTCCAACATCGGGCACACGGTATGAACTGTTTTTTTCATTCTCACCGGTTCCTATCCGCCCACCTCGTGCTGATGAAACTGAAACCTCTCAACCCTGGTCTTGAGCGGTACCTTGGGCTTTCGCGCTTCCTATCACATTCGTCGCATTCTCGATCCTTCACTTTCTTTCACTCGAAAACCTCTAACCCTTCCTATTGATAGGAGTGGAAGTCGATCGCGGCAGCACGACGGTGCCTTCTCCCTACTGCAACTACCGCATGGCGACGTTCGTCATATTCGACGGCGCCCCCTTCGTCATCATCGGTGATCTTCCCACGAACTCGGAGCGAGCTGGTGGGATCTTTGCCCCCGGTGTACCCGTCGGATCTTGCCGAAGCCATCCGAAAAGACGTGGCCGCTGTTGGCCGAATGCTCGTGGTGCTTGACGACGACCCTACCGGCACGCAAAGTGTCCACAGCGTGCCCGTCCTGGCGGAGTGGTCCGTCGATATTCTCGTCAAAGAGGTATGCGGTACGAACTAGCGTCGACGGCTGGGCTTAACGGACTGACCAATGAAAAAAGTCAGTCTTTTTATGGTGCATATTCCGTTGTTCGATTTCTAGAAATGTTTTCCCTTTTTGTGTAGGTGACCGGTGACCACGGACGGCGTCCGCCTCGATTGGACCGGTATCGCATCAGAAAGTACTTCTACTTAGCAGACCGGAGCCGTTATTATTGTGAGGAGAACAATAACGATTCACGGCGCTGCTATCCGGCTGACCGATGAAACTACGCCAGTGCCAGCGGGCAAAATCGAGTTCCCTGGAAGGGGGTCAAAGTTTTAAAAATGCGCAACGCTCTGAACTTCGAAGGCCAATATTTATATCTCTCTACAATACTTTCTGAGACACACCCACCACATCTCTGCTGATGCTTGTGTGGAAACACGAGTCACCTGCACCTTGAGTGTTTGGACCGGAGGCACTATTTTTTGCGCTCTTACGTAGTTGCGATCTTTGGAGGCTGGGAGTCGAGCATAGCGTCTACGATTCCACGGTACGGTTGCCACTGTTCATGGTGCTTTGTTGTGTTATGGCCCTTTGCTTACCATGTGCAGCCATCAACCTTCGTGTTCCACGTCTAATGAAAGTCGCTACGTGGATGCTTGCAAGGAGCCTGCCAAGCTTTCCTTCCTGGCAACTCGGCCTCTAGTCTAACACAGGACACATGCACATACATACGCAATTCCTACCAAGTACCTCACAACCCGGGTGCATGGTGGCGTGCTGTTGCATCTTTCCTTGCAGCTGAGATCTCCTGGACAATATCGCGTCATGTACCTCAACACGAACGCGAGGGCCTTGCCGCCTACCGAGGCCTCCGAGCTGTTCGAGGAAATCGCAAAAAATCTCCGAGAGGCATCTCGAATCACGGTAAGTGTCGAATCAGGGTTTTCATACGGTTCATACTTCATTATGGTAATTCATCACGTCGGTAACACGGTAGGCAATCACGGAGATTCATCACGGCAAGTCATCACAGTAGATACGTTTGAGTCCACAGCAAAAGAGAGAAACCCTATCCTATCTCGATCTTGTCGAAGACCTTGCAGGCCTCTCGCCTCCCACTAGATGGCCCAATTGAACAAGAAGGGGCCACGCCGTTCTTAGCATTGTCTTAACTTACTTTGTCGGGCGGCTTAGGTTTGAAGGCATGTCGCACTGGTCAATGTCGTTGCCGCTTCGCCCTAACATGGGCAACACTGTGCCGACACATGCAGCTCGGCGTCAACGTCGTGCTTTGTCCGTTTCGACTTAGCCCTGGGCCCTCCCTCCTGTTGGGGTCTGGGTTGAATTTGGTCGTTTCGCTGGCCACGGTCGTGCCGCTGTGGAGAATGAGGATGGTGTCTTCGGAGAGGTTGGACCAGGACAACTAGGGGAATACGGAACAATCTACCATGCCTCGACTGACGACATATTATCTACCGATGTTTGTTTCACCCGGACTCCCCATACATGCGCTATCGTTTTTTTTCAGGGTGTCGAGGTGTCGATGGTATCGCGAGGAGACTCTACTTTGAGGGGGCATTTCCCCAGCGATTTGGTCTCGCTCGAAACAGGAATGAGGGGTGAGTGAGTGGCACCAACACTGGATCGAAATTGTGCAGGAGACGGGGTATGTGAAGGCAGTGATGAGGGTAGGACCATCGCCGCTGGCTTTCGTATCTCAAAGGCGCAAGAGCGATGAACACCATCATGGCGAGCGCACCAAGACACACGAGTGAAAGTGTGAGTTTGTGCTGTGTCTGTCGGGGTTGAGAGCACGTTTTGTTCCGATGTCATTTGGGTTTTGGAATTTCTAATTTTGACTTGGTCCTGTGATTGTACACGATCGCCCACGACGTCAAACAATAGTGTCTCGCGGAGGGGGCTACGCCCGTGAACCTGTACCCAGCACATTGAGGGAACCACCATGGGAATGAAAACTTGGTGGTGTCAAGCAAACGGCATTGCGGTACCGCCGAAGGAGACATGCAACCTCGTACGTACGACATTGGCTTTTCGCGACCAATAAATAGCCTTTTTTTACTTGACATCCGAGTCTAGACTTCGCGTGCTTCCGATGCTAACAAGTGTTTGGGTGTTCGTTGATGGGTGTTTGTTCACACATTTGATGAGGATAGCCCACACCAATACCATCCTTCCTCTGAGCCTGCTATCTAACCGCGTGAAACCTCTCATTTGACGGCAACCTGGTCGTGCGACACGCCACTGTCACCATGCAAGAACAGTCCAGCACGACGCTTGGATAGTGGTCCCCTTCTTCAAGGCCGGTGGTAGGATCACAGCTGGAGACGTGCACTTCGTCGAGCAGCAAGGAACAACGGCAGCAACACCGCCAGGATTGGGCACCGACAGCACCGACGACGCCGTCGCCCTAGTCCCCGCGGGCGAAACGGAGTTCGCCCGTGATAAGGCGTTCGGGTATCGCTCGTCGAACCTCATCGACTGGATCCGCGAGAAGGCTTCGGTGGCGGAAGCAGATGAGGGGCGATGGCGGCAGCCCCCCGCCGCGACCGAGCGTGTGGTGTCGGTGTCGCTGCGGGATCTGAGGGAAGGGGGCCCGGAGGTGGTGAGGGAGCGGCTGGGGGAAGCGAAGGGAGGCTGCGTGGTCGTGAATGCCGTCGAGAAACGAGACTTGCAGGTGAGCTGAGGTACCGCCTCGTGGCTCCTCGTCTTTGGTTTGCTCGTTTCACCATTGATTTCGTGTCTTGTCCAATGCGTCCAGTGTCTGGACTTCTCTCTCTTTCTTTCTCTCTCAATATTCAGTCTGTCTGTCTGTCTTCTCTGTCTGTTTGTCTGTCTCTCCGGTTTCCTGGCACGTTCGAGGAGATATCGTGTAGGCACCGTGGTATTGTAATTTTCCGACTTTTTTTGTCTTGGTGTGTTGCGTTGGGTGCTTTGCGCGAGTATTCAGCGGTACTCTCCGTACTACCAGAAATATTGCTGTGGTTTTGGTCAGGATCACAAGGATCAGTATCGTGATATATTCAGTATCGTGCAGGTCCAGAGTTGTCGCACCTGGTGTGTGTTCAAATACCAGAACTATTTGCTCAATTCTCGAAATCCCCCGCCGGGGTACATTAGGATTTTTCGCACAGTCCGAGGTATTACCGCACAGGTGGTGCGTAAAACACGTTTGAACGCACGGTCTTCAAGACGATCGCAACCCTGTGCCATAGCTCGCGACCTGCAGCAGTCTGTCCCGATAGAACCTCGGTCATACCTTGTCCAAGGCAGGTTTTCGTGAAGGGGATGCTGGAAGAAGAGCTGGAAGGGAAAAGGTTTCTGTTTCGGAGCGCCGCGGACCTGGTTGCCGTGAGAGGTGCGGTCGACCGGCGGCCTCTTCTCGCTGCGGATGACTTCGACGCCTTAAGGGTTAAGGCAGGGGAGGCCGGGAGCGAAGGCGGTCTGACGGTTGTCGGGTGAGAAAAAAAGTCGAGATCCTCCATGTACTTTTTGTCCAAGTCTTACCCGCGCCACAAACCGGTATGCAGCAAATCATCATCTCTCGTGTGGTGGTCGCGGTGTGGGCGAGTGACGGCCGATGGGACCGAAGCACCACTCGTGGGGGGGTTTTGTCTTCGATTTTCGCTGCCGGTGAGGAAAGGTATGGGGTGGGTTACATCCGGTCAAGGGCTAGAATTCGGGCTGGAATGGGCTTGGGCTCGACCGTCGTCCTAGGTTGACCCGAAACCGCAGGGAAGGGATCTGGGTGGTACTCACTGGCTGTCTGTTTCGATTCTTCGATTTGCGGAGAGCGCTCAAACCGACCTGAATTCCAACGCTTTCCCCATGTTAATACCATGACGGCAGTTGCGGGTCCAGAAAGCCGCGGTTACCGTAAACCTATGCCTGTTTTTCGACCCATAGCTATTTCTCCAAAACGATTTGTCGCTTGGGTTTGGCCGACAAAAGTACTACCGTGCCGTTGCACTTTCGATGTAATTGCGCTTTTTTTTCTGTTGCAACGACCCTTCTTCCCCTCTCTATTGGGGCTTAGCGGCTTGGCCTCCCCCCTCATACCCTGGGGAGGCCGCCTGGTGGACTTCTAACTTTTATTCCGTTTCCCGGTTCGAATGTGCAACCTGTTTTCGTCTTTGATGAATTTCGCCCCAGCAAGCTGGGTCTTGATATTCTTCGCCTGGCTAGACCGCCACAGGAAAGGACTCCGCTGATTTCCACAAGCCAGGGCGGTTTGTCATCTCCGGCACACTTAACTATTTGCAACAAAACCAGCGACGAAAACAAGACGAAAGAAGCACCCAGAAGAACAAGAACAACATGAAGATACGGCCACCTACAGAACCAACGTGAACAACCGCACAAGTGGTCCGACCGAAAGCTAGCACCCGATTCTCGCCTCACCAAGCACAGGTCTTACGTCGCCAAGACAACGGAGCAGCTGCAACACTCCTTGGAGGCCATGGATGCCGAGGGGGTGGAGCTCCGCGCAGCGGAGGTCGTCGGGGGGGGTCAAGAGGGGATAGCGGCGTCTCGGCAGGAAGTGGAGAGAGTGCGCGCGGAGGTGATACGATAATCTGATATATCCGACTGGTTCCTGGAGAGCCCTTGCCCTGTCGCCGCGGCACCCGTCGGTTGGGCGGAGGGCCCCGTAATTTCCCCGCGAATTTGAAGTGACGTGTTGTCTGGGCCTGAACTTGTGTGTGCCGTCGGGGGGGGGAGGGCAGGGATCGTTCTGGACTCTGCGAGCGTGCCTGTTGCGGGGAATGGGCACAGAAACCCCCCTAATTTCAACGGTAAAAAGGTGTTGGTCGACTGCGTGGCCCTTTGTTGTTTGGAAGCTGTCGGCTTACATGGCGGCGGTGTGAGTTAGTATTCTGTGAACGAGACGACATTCTTGGTAGGTAAATATAACCTGGCGCTGCAAACTGAACGATACTCCGGTACGGCGGTGTGGCGAGAAACTCGTTCGTGGTACAACAGTCAGGGTTTGCCTTTCTATTTTTTCGGCGCCAGCGCGGTGCGGGAACTACTTGCTTGTTTTCTAGAGTGGCGGAAGAACACGAGGTTTTGCGTCTGAGAGCGAGAAATCGTCGAGTGCTTGCATGCGTTATGCTCTGCGCTAATGATCCGTGAGTTTGTGGCAGTCGCGACTGGGGTATCCTGTAAATGACCGACGTTGCTAGCAAAAAACACAACCGGTTGTTTCCTAACCGGTGTCGTCCATGATTCGTTCTCTTTCGTTCGAAAGGTGAGCCTCCTACTCTCCCGAGGCACCAACGTGATCCTGTACACCAGCCGGGGCGTGCCCCTTCAGGGAGACGGGGCTGGAGGGCTTGTCTTCGGCGAACGTGTCGGGGCCGCTTTGGTGGCGTGCGTGTCGGGACTAACGGAAAGGCCAAGGTTCCTTTTGTCCAAGGGAGGCATCACGTCAAGCGATGTGGCCACGCAAGCACTTGCGATGAAGAGGGCGGAGGTAAGGGTTGTGCTTGTTTTTTTTGTGCTGTGCCCGGGAGACGTGAGGAAGGGCATTGTCGGCAGATCAATCGCGTGGCTTTGAACCTGTGGTGTCGCCGGGACTTGACCAAAACAAAACACGGTTGCTTTCGTGATAGTGACGTGGGCTATCAAGACGTCTCAGACAAGAAGCGCCGTTTTCTGTTTCTGTCGGTCCCACGACTTGTCTCGTCAATTTTTCTTTGCCTGACCAAAACCCTTCGTCCTTGTTTTCAACGCCCACCACAACCGGAACTGTATTCTTTGTTGCTCAACAGGTTATGGGGCAAATTCTACCGGGCGTACCCGTGTGGTCCATGGCCGACGACAGCAGATGGCCTGGTTTGCCGTTGGTGGTGTTCCCAGGCAATGTCGGAGGAAGGGAGGCGTTAGCCGAGGCGATGATTAAGGTGTGCGGAACTCGACCGGCCCTGAACGTCGTGTATTTTGAAGCGACAGCAGAGGAGCACCTTGGGCTCCCACCCGAGCTTGGGGTTTCCTTTCTGCCAAGAGCAGTCAAGTGACCCACTAGCCACTACTGCTCCAGCTTGGTGCAGCTCCGGGGTCCGGAAGATGTTAGTGTCGTGTGGCAGAATGCTCGACGGTCTGAACGAGTTGACAGCGACGTCGTTAACTTGTTGCCGGTGATTTCATGCACAATGGACGGGGTGCAGGCCAAGAGGGAGGTAAAAAAGTGTCGTTGACCTCCCGGTCATTGCTTGTATCACCGACAAGAGGGCACCCCACCATCGCTCGAAGGTATGGTAGTGCATCCCCCATCACTACGACTATGTCGTGTACCCTACGTTTTGATCGTTTTGGGTTGTGGATGACTGGGCGCAGTCACTAGTCGTCAGAGCCCCTACCACCAACAAAGCGCTTACAGATCTCGCCGACGTGTCCGCGTCTGCCAGCTCGGAGCGCGGCCTAAGTCCGATCGGTCTGCGGGCGGACACCATACCACAGCCCCAGTCCAACACAAACAAGAGGTGTTGTACCCCTACGCGGGAGGATCAGGTCAATGCAACCGCACGCTGGATGTCTTAGCAGAGGCAAGGGGTCGGGGCGCGGCGGTAGGAGCGTTCACCGTGTACAACTTGGAAGGAATTCATGCTGTGATACGGGCAGCGGAGGCTACCGGGCGTTCCGCAATCCTTCAGGTACCAACGCTGGTTGATGTTGGCAATCGGGTACTAATGATAGGGTGTCTGCGACCATACGCCTTTTTCGTGCGTCTTAGAATAGCGTTTTGTCCCCGTGCTATCTATGCAAGCTCTCTTGGAGCTTCTCCCGTTTTTGTCTAGGCGCTTACTGCTGCCTTTTCCTCGCTCGGAACATATCCGTTGCCACCAAGTGTGAATATTGCAACCGTACACTTCGCCGCTCGGCGTAATCCTGATGCTCCGGGAACGGGGGGGCTTTGGAACATCGCTCCGTGCATGATCTTTCCCACGGGGAAGTGCCTACAATGGATGGGGTTCTGTGGAGGCAACGGCAACCACCCCCAGCGCATTTCATTTCGATGAAGACACCACCACGGAGACATGACCACCCGAGTCGTCCTTCGCGCCATATCAACACCCGCCCACCTGTGTCCCGGCTCATTGATCAGCCCCTTGCTGCCTCCTCGGTGCATCATTCTATCCCTCAACCCTCTCGTATTGAACAGGCGCACCCGGCCGCCTTGGGGTTCCAGAGAGGGGTTCCTCTGCTCTCAGCTGCAGTACTGGCGGCCCGTATTTGCTGCAAGAATGGTGGCCCGTTGTTGGCCGTGCAGTTGGACCATGGCACAGATGAGGATCACGTTGCGGCTGCTCTCGAAGCGGGCGTCGACAGCGTCATGTGGGTCTCTTGGCGAAGTTCTGCGGCACGTGTTGGTGGCATGGAATTCGAATTTTCGAAGCCTTGCTGGGGTTGGCGTCGGAGCTTCGTAGTAGTGGACTACATAGCTGTGACATTGTTTGTTTTTCGAGACCGTACCTGGCAATTCGCGAAAGAGTGGAGATTTCCCTTGAGTGCGTCTCCACGTCACCCGATTTCCAGCTTGTAGAAGAATGAGGTGCCCGGACAAACAGTGCTTTGACTTGTCAATGTTCGATGTTGGCACGTCAGCAACTTGGACTGCCACGACCCTCGTCGGGCGACGTGTCGAGAGTTCACCATGACGGATGAACATTGCTGGTAGTAGCGATACAATCGCACGGGCGTGAGTGCAGTTTTGTATGTTTCTTGTGTACCATGGGGAAAGTAGCGTTTCCTCGCAGAACTTATATCATCATGGCACGATGGTTGCAGTCCGCATTAGTGTGCCTCGTCTTGCCTTGGACGTCGTGCGATCGCATCCCTGAACCGTACCCCTGAACCGTACCCCCTCTCCCGTCACTTTGGTCAAATCTATGTCAACCCCAGCATCCTTTCCGCCGTTCCCTCCCTTTCCTTTCCACCAGGATCGACGGCAGCGCCATGGAGTACGAAGATAACGTAGAATGGACGGCACGCATGGCTGAATTGGCACACGGTGCTGGGGCGGCAGTAGAAGCTGAGCTGGGTAAGCTGGCCGGAGAAGAAGACGGACTGAGTGTGCCTGAGGTCGAGGCCAAGATGACCGATCCGAAGCAGGTGAGGTGGGACGGGGCCCCGCTCCCCCCGCACGTATTCGAAGGGACACGGTGTGCTGCTATTTGCGTTTTTTCGGTGGGATAGGTCAATGTAGGTGCTGGCTTTTCCTCCTGCCGGGTACATCAGAGTTGAGACACGCCACAATGGTGTAAACAGGTCGCGGCCGCGGTGCTCCGCTGCCAAGGGGACTTAGAGTTGTTTGTTAGACGGAAGTGAATGGTTGGATGACGCACGGATGTATGGTGCTCACTACAAATATGTTGGCTGGGACGGGGTCCGGTGAGTGTTGTCCTTTATTCTCTCTTCGTTCACAGCAGTACTTGAGACCGCAACGTCGCGGGGCCGTTTTTCTCCCGCCGCGGTACAGGGCGACAGTTGTCCCTAAATAGTAATATCATTGTTGAGTTTTATTGAAGTGCGGGACACAGGATTACCCTTTCTTACCTCCCTCTGTAGATCCACACGCAGATTCCTTTCGCGGAAGAACGTCACTCTGCCTTTCGGCAGGGATTTTGCGATTTTTCTCTAAAGTAGAACGGGTTCGTATGCAACGTGCACCATTGCTCTGGTCACGCGCTCATGCCAAGGCCCAGAGCGCGGGCAGAGATGTAGGGATGGCTGGACTCTTGAAATTGTTTTCCCGCAGATTTCATCGGAAATCCTTCTCAAGTGACCAGCGAAACATTTAGTTCGGTGTTCGAGGCCCTCGTGAATTCCCTCCGCGCTTCACGGAACGTGCATATTCCCTCTCTCGATGCACGCGGCCTCCCCGACCGCTCTAGGACGTATGCATCTCAACGGAGCGCTTGCTCTCCCGCCCCTATCATGCCCCCCGCTGTCCCTACCCGTGCCGAACAAACACCCCCACTTGGGGCAAAGGTGCCAGACTTTCTTGCGAGAACGAGAGCTGATATCCTCGCTGTTACGGTGGGAAACGTTCACGGCCGCTACGCCAGCCCCAACCCACGCCTGGATCTCGCACGACTCGGTCTCGTCAAGGCCGCCGCCATGGGAGCCTCGCCTTCGATGTTGTTGAGCTCTGTCCAGTCTGCCCCGCAAGCTGCAGGCAGATCTTCGAGCGCCGCGACTTTTCTTGCCATTCACGGCGCGTCCGGCTTGCCAGGCTCGCAAGTGAAGGTCTCGACTTCCTTAGGGGTGTGCAAATACAACGTCAATACCGAGGTCAGGACGGCCGCCATCGAGGGCTTGCGGGCGGTGGCAGGAGAGGCTAGTGGCGCCAAGGCAGACTATTTGGCGGTGTTGGACGCAAGCGTGGGGAACATGACGGCTGTGATCGCACAAAAAATGCTCGGCTTTGATGATCCCCAGTAAGTGTATTTTGGAGGGCTTGCGATAGGGTGCCGAACTTTCGGACTCGAGGGGTCCTTATGTGCAGGGTTCGCTGCCATTGCACTGGGCGTGGACCAGCCTGTCAACCGCAGGTCGGGTCACATTCTTGATCGTGTCGGTTTTGTACATCAATGGAATCCGGTCTGCACAAACGACCCGTGCTTGCCCTTGTTCTCCCGCTTCGTGTCTCTACACGTACTTTCGACGCAACGGTATCGAGCAATACGGTTTGCACGCGCGGTTCTTTGAAATGCGTGAGAGGCTGTAGGGCAAAAGGATAAAAACCCAAAGGATATCTGAGAGATCTAGGTGAACTACACCGCCTTCACCGCAAAGCCGTTTTGTCGCTTCCTCTCTTTTCGAAGACACGGGTAGCAGCAACGGAAACACCGGCGTTGGCACCATACTCACGGTTTTTATCGGGGTGGTATCGATGGTGGCGAGCGAAACCATTTTGGGAGCCAGCCGCCAATATTGTTTCTTTTGAGAAAACGTTCGGCAGATGCCGCTTGAAAACCCGAATGATTTCGAATAGGTGGTTAGGAGGTCTCGTAGATGTTGCTCTTGAGCGGAAAAGGGTACAGCTCATGGAGGTGCACGCGCGCATGGGGCTGCGTGCAAGACGCAGAAGCGGGTGAAGGGAGTCGGTTTCGGTTGTCACATTTGCGGTGGCTTGCTGTTTGCTTGCTGTGTATGGGTCATTTCCGCGTTGAGGTTTGTTTTTCGATGTTTTGCTGATACACAAGAACATTTGTTCGCGAGTTTTATTGCGTGCTCGTTTCTTCTGTTCCTTCGTTGATAGTAGTGCTTCGTCGATAGGGTTGGCGTTAGAGCCTCTTTCGGGGGCAAGGTGTCCGGCTTCACCAAGAAACATGCGGGAGTATAAAAGCTGCGCCGTCTTCTAACGCGTGCAGTGCAGTGTCACAGCAGTGTTTTCGTTCATCCAGAGGTTATCGTTATTTATAAATGTTGTAGGACCAGGGACCCATGCAGACGATGCATCGTGTGTTTCGTTCTGCATGAGTCTGGCCTGCTTTGCTTGTACATGTCGTGTGGTTGCCGAAGTTTCGGAGAGCTGCATCTTACCCTGCGGGCTTGTGCTATCACCGGTCGGGTCGGCAAGATGCTCCGAAATATTGAGTTTTTGAGCCCTCGTCGTCCGCGGACAGCTATGCATTCCTTATTCAGTCTTTCTTTTCCCTTTTCGTCTTCATTTCCTCGCCTGCTGTAGCTTGTAGAGGCGAGCGGAGGGTTCCAGGCCATCTGTTGTTGACTTCTTTTGACTAGGAGACCTTTCGGGTCCAATTTGTTGGGTTAGTTAGCATGCGACCACGCGAACCGACCGCGTCAAGTGCTAGACTAGTACGGACAGAATAAGGTACTGGGCTTGGAACGCTTGTTATTGTGAAGACAACAGAGAGCACCAGCAGTCATTTTAATTCAAAGCGATCGGTCTTTCCCCGCTTGCGCACGGCTCTCGCGCTCATATTCTCTGAACGTTCTAGGTACAGCCTCCTGGTCTGTGAGCTACAATACAAGACGAACCATACACACAGCTCGTGCGGGGTACCTTTGTCACCGCTGTTGTTGCTTCATTCAGTGGGCGGGGAGGGATGATCGGTAAACGTAGCCTGAACGGGAAGAAAAAAGCAAATCTTGAACACTATGTATGCCTGTTCTCGCACGTCGACAATCGCCACCTCAGTCTCCACGCCTCCTATCTCCCCTTGATGTCTATCAGCCGTCACACAAGACGGAACATACACACGGCTCGTGCGGGAACTAAATAGCTTTACAACTGATGCTGAGAACTAACCGAACACGCCAAACAAATCGGTTATGAGGTTTGCAGTAGTTATGAATGGTTAGGAGTACCATCTCTTGGAGAAGAGATTGCCCTCCTTTACAATTTCCTGCATGTAGTGATAACCACACGGATGGCCTGCTCTTTTTCGGGTTTGGTACTTGTTGGTTGCGAAGGTTCTCTCGGTCCTGCCAGCCAGACACATACGTTATTGTTGCTGTTGCTGTTGCTGTTGCTGTTGTTGTTGTTGTTGTCTTCACATTGATACCGTTCCGTTCTCTCTGCCCAGTACAAGTCTAGGTCATTCCGCTCGTCTCTACACGCTAAGGGGGGTAACCCTAGACTGGAAAAGAAATAATATGAAAAAGAAACACGAACAGAAAAAGAAAGAAAGCCATGGTCGGAAAAAAACGCAAAGTTGCACGATTGTTTGTAGTGTAGGCGGCAGGGTTGCCGCAAGTTGGGACAGTAGTGCATCCAAGGTGCGAAAGCTAGAGATAAAACTCGCTTACTACGCCAGGATTTGACCCCCTGACCCAGGCCACTATTTGCCAGTAGTGTTAGATATCGAAGCGCTGCGCGCTTCGATACGATATAAGCGTTCGATACGATAAATATCGCTTGAAGCGAGCCCGGCGAAGGCGCTCGAAGCTCGCTGTGCGAGCCACCTAGGCCCCCCCCGGCTGGCGAGGGGGCCCCGCTGGAGGCGCCGCCGGAGGCCCGAAAATTGGGGCGTTTTCGCTTCATTTCCCATCAATAATGACGTAAATTGGGCCACTACTCTAGGCCACCGTTGACCCATCTTTTCTTTTGAAAATAGTGAAAGCAGAGTTTTTGGTTGAAGCAGAATGCTGCATCTAGAGAAATGCAAATGTTGGTTTTCTTGGAGCGTTTCATTGCCAACCTGTGCCCCGAAAAACAACTACTCTGTACCTGGCGGTACGTGGCTTCCGAGCTGCTGCCAACTAAACACTAAAAACGAAAACCTACGACCAGCTGCGGTTCTACGAGCAGCTCTAGTCTACTGCACGGCACACGGCCGACGGCAAACTTCCCACAGAACCACACTATAGCAACTGGTCAAAGGACCCTGAATCCTCTTCTACCCGACGGAGAGCCTGCTGCGAAATCCCGCTGGACCACGTTAACCCGCGAACCGTTCAGGAAAACAAGCGCATCGACCGTGTCATCCCCAAGGCGGTTGCGTTTTTTCGTGACGATGTTGCCGGCCATGGAGAAGACGCGTTCAGACGCCGCCGATGACGGAAGAATCTGTTGAAATACAGCGCATCACTGCTGTAGGATGTGTGTAGTAGAATAGATGCAGCTGTATGATTGCTGTATGCAATGATACGTACATGCGGTGTGATATGTGACGTTTGGTAAAACGTAACATGTATGACGAGTTCTAGCGAGGAACTCACGAATGAATTGATGGTTGAGCAGAGGATTGTAATTGTAGCGAGATCACGAGGTGTTGCAAGCCCCACCGGGTTCACTCCCCAACTATCCCTCACCATCTCACCTCTGCAACTGAAGCTCTACAGCAGCTGCGTTCAGCGGAGTCAGCATCTGTGGAAGCTCAAGAAAAGGCGGCATTCGCCCGCAAAGTGCTTACTGATGTTGACGAAGAACAGAAGATCATCACACGAGCGATGAAAGACGCATCGGATACTGCTGAACGACTCGCTGTTCAAGCTGAGACCATCGTTCGTCTGTACAAGGAGCAACTACCACGGAAGCGTTCTTCGCAAGGCCAACAGAAAACACGAACGAGACGAACAGCTCTACGGTCATCATCAATCGGACGTTCCCGTTCTATCGTGAACCAGCAAGAGCTGGACGAATTTGAGGAAGCCGATTCTCAACTATTCAATATCCTCTATCACATATTGATTGGGCCAGCTAAACATGTGTTACGACGACACGCGCCTGTGGATGAATCGAGTGGCAGCGGACTAGCTGTTTGGAAGGAGCTGGAATCTAAATTTCAGCCTGCCGATGAACACCGGCGGAGAAACCTGGAACGAGAATTGGAATCAGCTACCATGCGAACTGGTACTGATCCAGACATATTCATCACCCATGTCTGGCATCTCGCGGAGCAACTTCGCTTCATCGGAGGGACCGTCACTGATGAGAAACTTGGGGACATCATACTACAAGGACTGCCAGCAGAGTACCACCTGATTCGGTACCATGCTAGTTCGAGGAATGAGCACAACGATCTGGCAGACATCACTCAAACGGCGCGGAACATGTGGTACAATCGAAACCGTAAAGATGGCGCCATCACGACATTTCAGGATAGGAGGAGTTCTGCTCGTGACGCGGGGTATTCAGCCATAACGGAAGCACCTCGTCAGCCAAGACGCCGAGATGGAGGTTATTCGACGCCTCCATACAACAGAGATGCGGTGGAATGCTACAACTGCCATCGTTTGGGGCATGTTCAACGGAACTGTCCGGAGCTGCATTCAGGGAGTGGCCGAGCTCCTACACGGAACTACAGCAGCAGCGGCGGAAACAGGCGAAATGGATACTATTTTCAACAGCGATCGCGGAATAACAATGGGCTTCGAGGATCCAACAACGGTTATCAGCAGCGATCGAGATCCAGCCGACCTGTACGACAAGTGAGAGACCGTCCTACGCGTCGGCAGCAACAACAAAGGCAACGGAAGTGGTGTTCGTTGCACAACACCCACCTGCATGACGATTCAGAGTGTCGTGCCCAACAACAAGATGGTATGGGCACACGACATGCATCAACAGGACGAGGAGGGCCGATAACAGAAGAAACACAAGGGGCGAGACAGGCTAGCCCTGTTCGCCACCAAGTCCAAGACAGGGATGGTACTTGGATTTTCAACCCAAGAATGTACAACGGTGATCATCGGACTATCAACAGAGCTGCAACAGCTCATGAGGAGACGAGAGGGTCTGCTCACAACCGGAATGTCCGAACTACGTCGCAACCAACTGAAGAGACAGTGGTTGAAGGTTATAATGGGAACCTTGGATACCCATGCGTCAGCCGCATGGAGATGGCAGCACAACGAGCTGCTTATGTGGAATTCGATCAAGGAAAATTTAATTTACTGGTGGATAGTGGAGCATCGGGCCACTACTTGGACAGCGACCTGTTACCGGATCTGGAAAACATATTGGATGACTTCACGTACATCACTACGCCAACGAAGATCATTGGTGCTGGAGGAATTGAGCTTGAAGGGATCAGTGAAGGAATCATCAACGTTTTCGCCAAGGATGGCGAAGGAAACGACAGGAGAGTGCGGTTCAAGTGCACAGTGGTTCCAGGGCTAGGGC